AGCCGCCGTACAAGGCTTCGACGTGGTCAGCTGCAGACGCATGAGCCGACCCTGAACGAAGTGGAGACTCTCGAAGCGGCCTTGCTTGAAGAAGATAGGCTTCTTGTTCGTCACGCGCTCCACGATGTGATGGACCGTGGCAAGGTCAGGAAACTCCAACTCCACGCTGTGCCCCTTTGGGTGGGTGTTGGCCAGAATGCGATGGCAACGCGCGCGTGCATCCTCGTCCTCCTGATCCTCCCCGCGCCTGGCACGGGCGCACGCGCGTTCATCACTGCTCTGTGCGGGCCCGGGGCCATCGTCGGCGTCCCCGCGCGGACTTGGCGCAGGCATGCTCTTGGGTCTGGGATTCATGACGATCCGCCCTGGAGCATCGGGTCGGCCCTCCACCGGATGCCTCTGGGCAGGCACCGACTGGGGAGCACGGCGCCATGGAGCGCGGCCACGACGCTCCTCGGCACTGCCTGCCATGCCAACCCAGTGGACGATCGGCCCATGCACCTGCCTTGGAGCCGGCGGCTTCACAGAGCTCCGCTGGTTGGGCGACGCTGGCTGGCCACTCTTAGGCCCGATCTTGTTGTGCGGCTCGCGCTCGCCACTCTTCACCTTGGGGCACTCCGGGTCGCCACGCCAGTGGCCGGGCTGATCGCAGTCAGCACACCGGCTGTTAGCCTTGCGCTGGTCCGTCGGCTTGCGACCACCCTGGAAGGAGCCGCTGGCGTTGATCTTCTTGGGGCCCCGCTGCCGAGGGGCAACGAACCCGCGCTTCTGACGCTGTACTGCCGTCTTCTGCTTGGCCCTCCAGCCGGCCAAGAACGCCTCCTGAAGATCCTCCGGTGCTTCGTACTCCTCGTCATCAGGCCCGTCGTTGTCCGACGCCAGCTCCTCTTCGACCTCGGCGCCGTCCTCGAAGATGATCCCCTCGCCAGCTCCGGGGTCTCCATCGTCCTGTTCATCTGCTTCATCTTCGTCGTGTTGCGCCTCCTCCAGGTCGCCGTGGTGTTCATCGTAGTCTTCGCCGTTCTCCACCTCGTGCACATGCTGGCCAGGGCGCCCTCGCAGCACGTATGGCCTACGAGCCATGGGAGGGTGCGGATAGCGACCGCCCGAGCTCCCGGAGGAGCCCGTGCTCACGCTGCGCCGCCACAAACGGCGAGCGGCGAGGGAGCACCGAGCGCTTCTCGGTGTCGTGCACCTTCGAGTAGGCTGCCTTCAGCGCGACCTCCATCCGCTTCGAGTCGTAGATGCCGCCACAGTTGAAGAGCACCTGCGCTCGCTCCTTCTGCGACAGTCCAGCGCCACGGAGCATCTTGCTCGCCAGCGCGCGATCGCTGATCGCTGAAGTGGGATCCTCGAGCTGCAACTCCATGCGCTTCTTGCGCAAGTACGTTGTCCAATCCATGATGGGCTGCCCTGATCGACGGCGTGCTCGCTCCCACTCCTGATGCACCTGGTCGAGGCGCTCGTGATCCATCTTCTCGAAGGCGTCGTCGTAGATAGCAAAGATGGTCTCGAGCGTATCCTCGCGTCGGAGGTCCGACGCGTCAAGTACCTCGATGAGCTCCTTGGCCCGACCTGTCACCTGACTGTAGATGATCAGGCCCAGCTCCACGTCGGAGAGCTGGTTGAGGTTGCGGATGACTTCAACCTTCTTGCGCCACTCGCGGTACTTCTTGGCACTCGTACCGACGGCACCATCGCACTCCGGGAGCTTCACCTGCGACAGCAGTAGACGTGTGCGTCTGGGACCGCTGTCGCCGCCGCGATCCCGATGCAAGGCCAAGAGCTCCCTCTGGGTCTCAGCCATCACGCGCAGGACCGCATGCAGGTCCGGGGGACCTGTGCCAGCGGAGGACACAGCCTCCGCGTCTGAGCCGTCTTGGCTGGCAGCCATGGCGGCCCACGCGGGTGGTCACAACCACCGAAGCAGAGCACGCAGTGCGTCCGCTGGAGCTTACAAGCTCCGCTACCAATGTCAGTGCAGTTGTTTTCGCTCGGACCGCGCGGCGGTCGAAACTGCGGTGCAGTCCCAGGGCCCTAGGACTAGGGCCAAAACAGCGGCGGGCAGCGTGCATGCCACAAACATGAATATAAGAAGTGCTGGGCATGGCCCTGCAGGATATGATGACTCATGCATACACATCATGCGCACACGGTGGCACGGGCGGCAGAGGGGCAGGGGAGTGCACTCTTCACACCAACAAGCCCATCTGTGAGAGAAGGGTTCGTTCTTTGCGCTGCGTGTCTGGAGACTATAGAACGTGTCTGCGCCGTTTCGCCATTTCCCTCCCGGTTCTGTCGCCGTTTTGTTGCCAACTCCTTCGCCGTTCTTCTTTGCCCAGTTCTGGTTCTGGTCCCCATACCGAAAACGTTGTGCTTCCGTCCCCGGTCGCTTTTGTCTAACCGTGCCCATGTTCAAGAAACACTTGTTTCTGGTAGTAACGGTGACAAGACGGCCCTGCCGCTGCCAGAGCCCACGGAGTTCCTAGCTCAGCGCGAGACTGTGAGAGGATGTTACGCTTAGGTCGGGCATGTCCCCCTACAGGCGGATTCTGTCACAAACAATTCAAACAGATCGTCCCCAGCCTATGTTTGGAATGTGTTTGAACTTTGCTCCTGTAGAAGGACATGCCCGACTTAATCCCACCAGCCCTTTAGGGCGTCGGTGGTTTAGAGCGTTTCCTCTTCCACCCCTCCTTCTTCTCTTTCGGGGAGGGGTTTAACCCTCCCCCTACCCCCTCCCCACTGACCTGGACAGGGGGGGCCGCGATCGGTCAGAGCGTCCAAGATCGACCCCTGGGAGGGCTAAAAATCGACACCCCTCACGAGGATCGTGGCTCCTGAGGGGGGGGCTGAAATTTAGGACCCCCCCTTCGTTGATCGATCTCCTCCAAGATGGCTCCGAGAGACGTCTTGGACCCCCTCTTGGGCCCTGCGCGCGGGCGGGCGGAGCGCCGCCCGCCCGCCCGCAAGGCCCAAGAGCCCACCAAAACGTTCGAAGATACTTCCAAGACGCCACCAGGGAAGAGGAAGATGAGGAGGAAGAGGAGGAGGAGGAGGAGCAGGAGGTGAGGGAGGAGGAGGAGAAGAGGAGGAGGAGAAGGCGGAGGAGGAGGAAGAGGGGGAGGAGAACAGCTGCCGATCATTGGCGCTCTTCGTTCGAGAGCCTGGTGTAGGATGGGCTGGTGGGGATACGCGAAGCGTCAAGAATTTCACGAGGCGGGGGTGTCGGAGGTGAGGGGGTGAGATCGAAGTGGAACGGAGAGCCCCCCTACTGGGAAATCGATTTTGGTTTCGTGTTCCTGCATGCCCTGCGAACGGGCGAGGCGAGACCGATACTGAGATCGATAGTGAGATCGATACTGAGACCGATCGAGTGAGACGTTGGTTCCTCCCCCCCCGAACCTCCCAGCCGAAGGGTGGTCGTATAGGTATATGTATCCTCGGGCCGGGGACCCGAGGTCCTGGGACCCCAGCGGGCGGTGGATAGTCGGCCTCAGCGGACCGCTACAACTGTTTACAACGAATGCACGCGGCGCTGAGGCGATAGGCACATGTAGAAAAGCCAAGGCACGCGGCGCTAAGGCCAAGGCGATAGTGCACGCGGCGCTAAGGCGATAGCCACACTTAGAAAAGAGGCCGCCCTCGATCCGTGAAGCTCTTGCAAATCTGAACGGCGGGTGTGCGCGGCGCCGCGGCGTCGGCCACATTTCGAAAACGCCCCGCCCTCCATCTGTGAAACTGTTGCCGGTTCGTGAGCTTCGGGATCAGAAGTGGCGAGGAGGTCTCGGGCGAAACGCCCGGCCCGCCCCCCAAACAAAACTGGCCTCGGGGTGCGACTGGAAAAAGGTACCTAAAACGAAGAGGCGCGGAGAGAGGATGGCGGGAAAGACGGGAGGGGATCGGAGGGGGGGACGACCAGGAGGAGGAATAGGAGGAGGAGGAGGAGGAAGAGGAGGAAGAGAAGGAGGGGGAGGAGGAGGAGGAGGAGCAGGAGGAGGGGGAGGAGGAGGAGGAGGGGGGAGGAGGGAGGAGGAGGAGGCGGAGGAGGAGAAGGAGGAGGAGGGGGAGGAGGAGGAGGGGGAGGAGGAGGAGCAGGAGGAGGAGGAGGAGCAGGAGGAGGAATAGGAGGAGGAGGCGGAGGAGGAGGAGCAGGAGGAGGGACGCACACCGAAGGAGGGGTGCGACGCGAAGAGGTGGGCTTCTGCGCTCCCAGCCCGCTCGATGGGCCCGCTCCTCCTCGTGCTGCTTCTGCTGCTGCTGCCGCTGCTGCTGCTGCTGCTGCTGCTGCTGCTGCTCCTTCTCGCCCTGCTCCTGCTGCCTCAGGCGATTTTCCTCCTTCGCCGCCTTCCCTAGGGAGTCCACAAAGGACGTACGCGCCCAGCTATGTACATGAACACGGTCCCTTGAAACGCGAGACCGGCCGCGCGATACGAACATTCGCGCAATGCGAACTCTCGAAACCAGCGTGGTTTCATGTACATGTACGTCCTTCTTTCGCTCCTGATTCCCTCCATCCCTCTTCCGCACCATCGCTCCTCTCGTTCTCGCCCTGCTGCTGCTGCTCGTTCTCGCCCTGCTGCTGCTGCTGCTCGTTCTCGCCCTGCTCCTGCTGCCTCAGGCGATTCCTCCTTCGCCGCCTTCCCTCCATCCCTCCTCCGCCTCATCGCTCCTCTCACTTTCCTCCTACCTCATCCCTTTCCTCTTCCGCACCATCGCTCCTCTTCGCTCCTCCTCCATCCCTCTTCCGCACCATCGCTCCTCTCCCTTTCCTCCTACCTCCTCCCTTCGCCATCCCTCCCCTTCCCTCTCCGGCCCGCCGACCTCCCGCGAAAAAACCCATCCCACGCGCGCTCCCTCCAACCTGTCCTGCTCCTCGTCCTCTGCCTCCTCCTCCTCCTCGGCCTCCTCCTCGGCCTCCATTCACTCCACCGTCCATATGAACATTCAAGTGTCCATGCATTGTCGACGAACGCGCTGCAAATGTCACCCGGCACGGCCTGCTATCCAGTCGGCGTCGTTAATGTCATTCATGACTCGGCACATAGAAGATCCAGCGTCTGGCATGCCTGCAGCAGCAATCTCAGACCGCGATATACACGTGCGTGCGAGCAGAAGGCCGTCAGCCCCCAATTCGCCGGCCCAACGGGCCAGAGGCGTGCTAAAATCTCCAGTGACTGGTCAACAATATTTCTAGCTCGCGCGCGCGGGGCGGCCCCTGGGGTCGGGAGCGGCCAAGAGGGGGGTGTCCAAGTGGGGGAGGGGGGGGGGGGGGGGCAAAACATGACCGGCGGCATGTGCGCAGCCCAGCGGGGGGGCCAGGGACGTAATGAAACAAGAAGAGGCGCCATAAAATCTGGGGAAATATCAGGGCCCACGCCATGATATCCACGTCCTCCTAGTCATCACCCCCCCTTTTTCCCCCCGATGGGGGTCCTTGGACGAAAAGTGCCCCGGCAAGGTGCCCGGGCGGTGTGACTCAGAGATGGTCTTCCTCCTGCGCGCGGCCGCTCAGGCCCCCAAAACGCGCGCCAAGAGGGCCCCTAAGAGGCCCCCAAGACTGCCCAAGAGGCCCCCGAGACGCCCAAAGAGCGCTCCAAGACGCCCAAGATGACCCCAAGACGGCCCAAGAGGCTTCCAAGTGGCCTCCAAGAGGCCTCACAAGAGGGCCCCGAGAGGCCCAAAATAATGAATTTAAAGCGGTTTTGCAAGGAGTTTGGCCTTGTCGCTTTTTCGGCTTTCCGATGCTCCAAGACGGCCCAAGAGGCCCCCAAGAGCGCCCCAAGACGGGCCAAAAGGCTTCCAAGAGGGCCAAGAGGGCCCAAGAGGGCCCCGAGACGGCCCAAGAGGCGCCCAAGACGGCCCAAGAGAGCCCCAAGACGGCTCCAAGGGGGGCCCAAGAGGGGGACCACGAACCGAAAACTCGAGCCTTCCGCCCCAAGAGGGCCCCAGGAGGCCCCGAGAGGCTCCCAAGAGGCCCCAAGATGCCGCCAAGAGGCCCCCAAGAGGCCCCAGGCGGCCCCCAGGAGGCCCCCCAAAGGGCCCCAGAAGGCTTCAAAAATACCTCCCAGGCGCCCCCGAACGGCTTCTCAAAAGATCCCGAGAGGCCCCCCAAAGAAGCATCTTGACGACGACCCTGTTTGGCCCCAAGAGCAACACAAGATGCCAACGAGAGGCTTCCTCCTCCGCCCCCTCCTCTTCCTCCTCCTCCTCCTCCTCATTCTTATCTTCATCCTCCTCCTCTCCTTCTCATCCTCGCCTCCTCCTCCCCTCCTCTTCCCCGTCCTCATCTTCCTCCTCCTCGGCGGCGCCACAATGGCCCCGAGCCCACGGCGAAGCAGTAGCGATCATGCAATATGGGCTGGCGGAATGAGCGAAGCGATTGAATACATATGAGAGAGAGAGAGAGAGAGAGATAAAAAAGAGTGTGCTGAAAGCAAAGACAGAGAGAGGCAGAAAGAGAGTGCTGAAAGCAAAGGACGAGAAACTCCATTAAATCATTCGGTACAATCCACACGCGCGTGTGATAAGTAATGCATCATGCGACAGAAGAGAGCCACGCTGGACTCCTTACAGCCTTCGGCCCGCCTAGTCATCATCCTCCCTGTGCCCCACCTCCTACCCACTGCCAGCTTTACTTCTTCGTATTCACACACGTTATAATCATCATCGTCATCGTCAGCATCACAATTATCATCATCCTCATCAGCATTATCATCATCACAACCATCATCACCATCATCATCATCAACACCATCATCACCATCATCATGAGATCCGAGTCGACATCATCATTGCTAGCAACATCACCGCCATCTCCATCCTCATCATCAGCGACATCATCCGCATCATACTCATCAGCATCATCATGCTCATCATAATATTTATCATTGCCATCATCATCATCATCAACGTTATCAGCAGCATCCTCATCATCACCACCGGCACCATCATGATGATCATCACCGTCATCATCGCAGGAATTATGATCACTATCATCACCACCACCATCATCATCCTGATCAGACTCTTCATCATCGACGTCATCGTCATCATCGTCCTCCACATCCGCCAACCATTGCTCCTCCACCTGCTCTGCCAGAACACAAAACATGTTAGAAGCTGCGTGGGCACCGTCGAAATGCGCACCGGCGCAGAACGAGTGAAGGTGCAGCCAGTGCACCTGAGGGATGACTCACGACGATTCGTAGCATCGCCCTACCCACATCCCCATGCAAGCCATTCAAACTGTGCCCTACGCTTCGTCACTTCTCAACGCCACGAGGTCGGCACCAACCGGGCACACCAAAGGATGGGATCTAACGAGAAGTTCGATGGCCACCAACGGCCTTTCCTCATTTCCATCCACCCTCACTTGTCATCCTTGCCCTTCTCCCACACCACCAGTCGCCCTCCATGGATACCCGATCGTACACGTCCAGCTGTGAACATTCAACTACTGATGCTGGCGCGTCACATCAGACAAAAAGCAGCACGAGGAGGGAATGGAAGAGGTCGATCAGAAGGATGAGAGCAATGTCGCTGTACGCCCTTGTTGGAATGAGGAGGCCTTGGATTTTGAGACGAAGCACAGATGCAATAGCGTTGTTCACAAAACCAAGACAAGGTTATGTTGTTTGTCTATGTGTTTGCTTATCCATGCATTTCTCTCTATATGTACATATATATATATAAGATTGTATAAACACGTCCCTAAGCCGCTACTGGGGTCTATCCTGAAAATATGCCAAAAAACCTCGCCCGTCACCACGCGACGTCCTGCAACACCCAGGACCTCCAATACGACGACGACGACGTCGAAGGCGACTCACCTCACACACCACGTCGAGCGAGGGAACGCGCGTGCCTTCCTTGCACCAGACTGCGCGCGACAAGGTAACAATGATGGGCCTGTTTTCCACCACCACCACCACCATAGGTTGGAGGGGGGGGAGGAGCAGGAGGATGACGAGGAGGAGGACGAAGAGGAGGAGGAGGAGGAGGACCCCCCCTCCAACTTATGATGGTGGTGGTGGGAAACAAACCCATTAAGACTGTGCGTGACCAAGTAACAGAAGAAACCCTGTCGCATGATGCCTTCTCCAACAACCCCTCAAAACCGTCACTGCCAACTCCCAATCGCGCGCTGCACCACCTTCAGGGCGGAAGCAATCAACCAGGCGGACGCGGCAACCAGGCAACTTCCACAGAGTCGCGGGCTGCTGCCACGTTCGAGGGCTGCAGGGGTCGGGCCAGCACACTGGGGTCCCACGCAGGCCCAAGTGGGACCTCGCCAGCCATGAGGGTTTGCGAAGCGTGGAACAATCGCCACTTGCGAGGGCTGCTGGGGGAGCCAGCACAATGGGGCCAGACGCACTCTCAAACGGGACCTCGCCAATGTAAAGCTGTCGCCAATTTCAACAAAGGTTGCTGGGGGAGCCCGCGCAGTGGGGCCGCCACACGCAGACCCAAACGGGAACTCGCCATCCCTGGGGGCGGTCTGCGAACTGTGAGCCTGCAAGGTCGGGGATGGGCCTCCCGATACAGTCGGACCTCTGACGGAAGACCATCCTCCAAGAACGCGAGGCCCTCCGCTGGCCAAACCATACAGAACGTCCAAGGGTACCATCACCAGAATGCGCAAGGACATTCCACAAACACGAAAAGAACTGGGGTACCCTCCCCGCACCGACCTCGACACTACACCTCGGTCCGACTGTAGCCAAACCCCACGCTCCCGGGCGGGGAGGGCCCCCGGGCCCACCACGGCCACGAGCAGACGATCGGGGACCGATGCGCCCTCCCCGACGCTGCCCCCTCTGTCCTCGGGCCACTCTCCGGCGGCCGTTCGGGGCGATCCCGGCACCCCCCCCCGGAACGCCCTCGGTGAGGCGCAGCCACCGGAAGGCATCCCGAGGCTGGAAAGCCGCAGAGAACCGACGAAGACGTCCGAACACCGCGGTCCCCGAGGTTGCCTGTCCCAGCCCGACGTTGCCCCTGGCTCAGGCGTGGGGCGGGCACGCTTCAGCCAGGGGAGGAGGAGGAGGAGGAGGAGGAGGAGGAGGAGGAGGAGGAGGAGGAGGAGGAGGAGGAGGAGGAGTGGGAGGAGGAGAGGAGGAGGAGGAGGAGGAGGAGGAGGAGGAGGAGGAGGAGGAGGAGGAGGAGGATGAGGAGGGGAATGGAGGAGGAGGAGGAGGAGGAGGAGGAGGAGGAGGAGGATGGAGGAGGAGTGGAGGGGAGGAGGAGGAGGAGGAGGAGGAGGGAGGAGGGAGGAGGAGGAGGAGGAGGAGGAGGAGGAAAGGAGGAGGAGGAAGAGGAGGTAGAGGAGGGGGAGGGGTTACTGTGACGCTCCTGCTGGGGACCTTTCCCCCGAGGCACCCGCTCCTCTCGTGCGTGGAGGCTGCGTCGAACGCCCGTCGGCCCGAGCCGAGCCTGAGCCGAAACTGAGCCGAAGCTGAACCGTCAGCATAGGAAACATTGGAAACAACAGGGCGTAACTTGTGATCTGCAGTTCGCAAACCTGAACTAGACGCCTGGCGACGCCCTCGATGCGCTACTACTCGCGCAGCAAACGCTAGAGAATGAAAGGGCGAGAAAACGATGCAGGACACGCGCCCGCTTCTTTCGGAGAGGCCGAGCCAAAGTCGAACGAAAGACGAACCAAAGTCGAACGGATCCGTTACAGTCGCACCCAGTCGGCCAGCACGCAGAGAGCAGCCGAGGGTACCCTCCCAGGATGCACAAGAGCACCCGACGAGCACGAAGAACGTCAGGGCACCCTCCCCGCACCGATCTCGATCCCTCAGCTCGTGCCTCGGTCCGACCGCAGGCGGGCCCCAATGATTGGATAAGAAACAGCGGCATAAAGAGAATCACGTTCGACGCTCCGCGCGGACTTGTTGGATCTGCGCTGGGCCCCCCCCTCGCAGGCGCGAGGAGCGCGCCGAGGGCGGTGCCGGAGGTGCCGGCGGGCGGCCCCGGCGCGGATCCGAGGAATCAGCTCGGAGCGCCAAACGTTTGTGTGTAATGCCGCTGAGATGCGATGGTGCCCTTGGAGAGTTGCTCATCCCCCCGATGCGGGATGACTGTGGCACGCCTCTGCTGCGCCCTGGGCCCGCTTCCGATGGCCGGGGGCCCAACGACGGACCCTCGAGGCCACATCCAAGGAACCACCCTCGCGCCGCGGCGCGGCAGCGGCGACCCGCTCGCGCGCGGAGCAGGTCCCCCAAAGCAAGCATCCTCGGAGTCCCGAAGCGGCGCGGTGACAGACCGTGCGGTGACCTCGACATCCCCCAAGAGGCCTCGCCGCACGGTCCGTCGCCGCACGGCCTCGGGACCTCGGGGGCCCCCGTCGCCCGAGACGCGCTCGGAGGTCGACCCGAGCCCCAAGACCGTGCGGCGACCCCGAGTCCCAAAACCGACTCACCGCCCAGGAGTGGTCACCGCCCAGGAGGAGCAGGAGGAGAAGGAGGAGGAGAAGGAGGAGGAGGAGGAGGAGAAGGAGGAGTGGGAGGAGGAGGAGGAGGAGGAAAAGGAGGAGGAGGAAAAGGAGGAGGAGGAGGAGGAGGAGGAGGAGGAGGAGGAGAAGGAGGAGGTGTGGTCACCGCCCAGGAGGAGCAGGAGGAGGAGGAGGCGGAGGAGGAGGAGGAGCATCGCAGGGGCGGGCGCCGACACGACCGCCGGGAGGTGGAGGCACTGCTGCACGGGGCCTCGCGCCGCGCGCCGGGGGGGGGGCGCGGGCGGTAGAAGGCCGCGCACGGGCGGGCCGCCGCGCGCGAGGGGCCCCCTCTCTCGCGGAGGGGGGGCCGCGGCCTCCGAGGGGGGCCCTGCGCTCCGCCGCCCTGGGGCCAGCGCGCCTCCCTTCCCTGAGAGCCCCATGGGAACCCAAGAGTTCAGTCGGGCCTGGCCCTTCCAGGGGGAATAGTCACAACTAGTCAAACACATCTCGTGGTGACGACCCGTGGACCATGTTTGAACATTGGGAGGGCATGTTGTGCGTATGTTTCATTGTTCGCTCAAACCCCCCCTGTGGGGGGACACGCCCGACCTAACCCCAGGGCCCCAGGGTCCCCCATCGCCCCTGGGTCCCCAGCAACCAGCTCTGCCTCCCCCCAGGGCCCCTGGGCGCCCTGGGTCCCCCCCCGTGGGTCCCCTTCGCGTCCCCCTGGGCCCCCTCCGCTCCCCTGGAGGTCCCTGCCTCCCCAAAGTCCCCGAGGTCCCCCACCGCTTCCCTAGGTCCCCCGTCGCTCCTCTGCAGGACGCTGCCTCCCCTAGGTCTTCCTCCCTCGTCCCCTAGAGGTCCCTTTCGCTCGGCCTGCCGTTGCCGCCGTGCTGCTCCCAGCTCTCGCCGTCGCTCGGACGTCCGCTCCCCGCTCCCAGCTCTCGCCGTCGCTCGGACGTCCACTCCCCGTCGTGCGCGCTTCGGCTTCGCGCGTTTGTTATATAAAACACATCTGTTGTCTAAAAAACGACCTCGCCTCGCCCTCCCCTAGGAGCTCACCGTGGCCAGCTGGCCTGCCGTTGCCGCCGTGCTGCTCTCAGCTCTCGCCGTCGCTCGGACGTCCACTCCCCGTCGTACACGCTTCTGCTGAGCGAGTGTTGTTTGTTTAAGACATGGTTTCGTGAGACGACCCAAGATGCCCCTCGATGGCCGTCGCCGGGGAAAAAAAAACGGCCCCCGCCCGATCGATGCCGAGAGCTGGAGGGCCCATGCGCCACCGCACACGACACGTCCCGATCGGCCGAGGGGGCCCCAGGAGAGGGCGCCCGCGGGGGTCCCGGTGAAGGGCCCGCCGTTTCGAGGCCGGCGGCAACGACGGCAAGGCCTTCACAACAACTCCTCCCTTCACAATAACTCCTCCACCTCCTCCTCCTCCTCCTCCTCCTCCTCCTCCTCCTCCAGCTCCTCCTCCTCCTGCTCCTCCTCCTGCTCATACTCCTCCTCCTCCTCCTCCTCCTTCTCCTCCTCCTCCTCCTCCTCCTCCTGGCCGCTTTGACTGCTCGAGGGAGGGAGCATGGCATCCTCCTCCCGCCTGGCGAGGGCGGGGGGGGCTTTCGCACCCCCCCTTTTCTCGGGGTGCCTGCCCTCCCCTCTCTCTCTCTATATATATATATATATACAGCCAGCCCGTGTCACAAGGGTGCGCGGCAGGGTTGCAAAGGAGCCTCGGAGGGCCACGCTTAAAGTTGTTCGAGGAGGTTCTGACCAGTGAGTAATAACAATAATAATACTAATGATATGAGGACCATAACAACACATGATCATAAACTTTTAGCGCTCCGCGAGGATTTCCTGAATCCGCGCCGGACACCCCTCCCTGGCGCGCGGAGCGCGCCGGGGGCGGCGCCGGAGGCGCCGCCGGGGGGGGCCCAGGCGCGGATCCAAGAAATCTGTGCGGAGCGCCAACAGTTTATTCCTTCTTCGAAGAGCACGACACAGAGGAGGACAATCTTCGCCCAGGATCGAGATACTCCGCCCCTCGGGCCCAGGCGCGGATCCAAGAAATCCGCGCGGAGCGCCGCAGAGGCAGGATGCCAGGGTACCCTCGGGAAGGCTGCCCGTCCTCACCACGCGGGCTGACTGTGAGGGGTCCCCGCGTCCAACCTGCCTGCCGCTGCCGCCGCGTGGCTCTTGGCCTGCAGGCTCACGCGTGTTTCGGCGGCGAGCCCAAGGGGGGACTTGAGAAGGGGTTGGGCCTTCTAGTGGCGGTGCGCACAAGGGGGTGGAGGGAGGGGGAGGGCTTCTTATGAGGGTGCTTCTGAGAAGCCGCCGGCCTTACATCTATAGATAAGGCCCGCGCCTTCTGAGAAGCAAGAGGGCTTCTAAGAAACCCTCCCACCTCCCCCCACCCCCTCTGCACGTTGCTGATTCTCGGAAGGATCGGAATTACTCCCGCCTTCTGAAAAGTTTGCTGCGACTTCCCCGAGGACACACAAGACTTCTCAGAAGGCCCGAGGGCTTCTGAGAAGCCTCGGGCCTTGGAGGCCACGTCGGCGCTCTACGAGCGGGGGGGGCCAGCGAGAGCGACAAGGGATGGGGCCGAAGGAGAAGGATTCAGGATGCAAGGGTAACCTTGGAGAGGCATTCGTCCTTACTGTACGGGTTGACGGTACCACACGTTGCACGTGGCTCCCAAGACCTGTGAGGTCCACCCCTGGCTTGCACATGGACGGACATGTGAGGACGGGGCTCGCGAAGACAGGACTGACCTGGGAGGGCTGCTGCGCTCGCCCTCCCAACACCGGGACCTTGGGTGGAGGTCCCTATGGGGCCACGAACCGCGTGAGGGGTGTGCCAAGACGGGGGTTGCGCCCACATGCGGGCGGCGCCGCTGTGGCCTTAGGCGGAGCTCCCCATGGGGCCACGCAGCGTGTGAGAGGTGTGCCGAAAAGGGGGTGGCGCCCACATGCTGGCGCGGCGCCAGCGGGACCTCGGATGGAACTCCATATGAGGCCACGAACCGTGTGAGGGCTGTACCGGAACGGGGGCTGCGCCCACATGCGGGCGGCGACACTGGGGCCTTGGGCGGACCTCCTTTATGGGGCCGCGAAGTGTGTGAAGGGTGCGTCAAAACGGGAATAATAACGATGATGGTGATAATGACGGCCATGATGATGATGCTGATGATGCTGATGATGGTGGAGATGATGTTGATGGTGCTGATGATGACGATGGTGGTGCCAATACGGAATATTGAGAATGGTGCTGGTTATGATGATGCTGCTGATGATACGGATGGTGCTGATGGTGATGAAGATGAGTATGATGGTTACGACGGTGACGGCGAAACGCATGACGACGATAACGTCGATGACGACGACGCCGGTGACAATGACGATGATGACGATGTTGCAATTGATGTTGGTGATGGTGATGATGATGCTGATGATGACGACGATGAGAGGAGGGTGGGGGGCAGCGGGTGGGGGGGAGTGCGAGAAGGAGGCGGGGCGAGGCGGAAAGGGAGGAGTGGCGACAGGCGCTCCCTTCAGAAGGATTACCCAACGCCACGGGATGGTTGGGAATGCGTACCGCCACGGCGGTGCAGCCTGGGGAATGGGCAGAGCAAACCACACAGGGCGTGAACCCCATGGGGGGCATGGTGAGGCAGAAAGCGCGAGATGGGAGGCTGATCCGGATGAGGATGAAGGTGCGAAGGAAATGGAGGCGGCGGAAGACGGATATGAAGGAGGGGATGGAAGGGAAGGGAGAAGAGAAGGAATATAACAACACAAACAGCTGAATGAGGGAGGAGGAGCCAGGAAGGAGGAGGGACATGGACGGATGAGGGTTGAGAAAAACAACGAGAAGGACGGCGAGGAGGACAATCTTATATCGCAGAAGTGAAGGGTAAAGAGGGCACCTAGGAACGAGAAAGAGAGGGTAACCCAAAGAAGGAGGGAATCGGTGGAATCACGTTGCAAGAGGCTAGAGTTAGATCGGACGTGTTCCCCCACAGGCAGACATTGGGGGCAAATCAAACATATTGAAATCATATCCATAACTTGATGTTTTGTTTTCATAATCGGAATATCGTCCCCAGACTATTTCTTTGACTATGTTTGAGTGTTCCTCCTGTAGAGGGACAGGCCCGACTTACGGCTAGGGGGAGGAGGGAAGGCACCTCTGACTCGAGGCTCTGGTGGGCGACGGCTCCCCGAGGGGCCTGCGCTCCGCCGCGGGCGCCTCCCACCGGCGGGGCCCCGCGGGCCAGCGCAGAAAGAGGCGGCGGGGGATGCAACGTTGCGGGGCTCGCCCCGAGGGACCGCCTCTCGTGGCACTCCGGGTGGTGGCATGGGGGGAGAGGGCATGGGACGCACAGAGACATACTGATACTGCATGTCTGCCTTGGTGGCGCGGGTCCGATCCGAACTTGTAGTGTACCCATCTTTCAGTAGATCGTTTCCCGAGCGGTGTGGCCAGAAAGCGCCCGCCACGACGCATATACTATAAGATTTCTCGGTGCGCGCGTCGCTCCTGGGGGGGCGACGCACACATAGTATAAGTATGTTGGGGTGGCGCCGAGGACAACTTAGGCGGAGGAGGGGGGAAAAAGGACAAGGACTCAGAAGAGGAAAATGTGCCCATGTCGCTACCGCTGGATTCGCCTCGAATTTCTGGTCATAACGCAAACCAGGAGAGGTCGGGGCCAAGGACGAGGAGGATCAGATGGCAAGATGAGAAAGGGAGGGGTCAGGGAGCGGGAAGGAGGAGGGAGGAAAGAGGAGGCGAAGAGGCAAGAGCGAACTTCCTGTGGGCATCGGCAACGGCATGTCTGACCGAGCACGCTCACTTAACATCCTCCGACCATGCTCAGTCCCCATGCCCATCCCCGAGCATGTCCTTACCAATATGTCGAGACGGATCTAGCCGTGGCGACGAGGGTCTCCCAGGAGGCCCAAGAGAGGCGAAAGTGAACACAACGATCAAAAGACGCCCCACCCTCCCGAGCCGCGGCCTGAGTATCCGCGGCCCCGATACTCGCGGAAACCCTGCCGCAGCATGATCGTGAGCAACTGCTTGGCCAAGCTTGCGCCTTGCCGCCAGTGCGGGCAACGAATGAGATGAGACAGGCGGCGAGGCGCCCCGCAGTGCTCACCGGCGCTGTGCGGTCCGAGCCTAAGGAGGCGACTGCTGGGATGTCTTTGGACAAAAACGATTGAGGGCCATTAAACCCGAGGAAGGTACCACTAAGCCAGCCTTGGGCAGGTTCAGTGGGGGAAGCCGACGACAAGGACATTATTTTTATTAGGCAACATAGAGGACCACTTCGTGAAATATCCACCTGCTCGTGATAAGTACGTATACCACGAGCAGGTGAGGAACGACGAGGACAACATCGGGTAAGGATAACTCGAAAATCACTAAGGTTCAACGGCTCTGGAAACGACGGGGCGCCGCGGCGGGTTATGAAGACGAGCCAGCGACGAAGATACATCGGGGTGGAGATCACTCGAGAAGCTCCGAGGTCAAACGGCTCTGGATGATGTCTCGGGCGCCGCGGCCTTCTCGGAGCGGCCCAGAACGTTCTGAGAGCGTTCGGGAACGCTCTGGAACGGACTTATCGTCGCCCTCGCCCCGTCTGAGGGATTCAGCAAGATTAAGGGGGAGGAGGCCGGACTAAGCTGAACTATGCCAGATTCGAACGACGACCGCGGAGGTACTGGCGCCAACGCTGAGTTAACTAGTCCAGCAGCTGCATCCCACGAAACATGTCCACAAGAACTCGGGTTAGGTCGGGCCTGTCCTCCCACAGGCGGGCTTTAACATGGTCACCCGATGAGCTTACTGTTCTTGAGTCTCCCTCCGAAAAAAATGCCCGACTGAAAATCGGGTCGAGAGCACGCGCCTCTCCGCCCGAAGGCCAGGGCCCCGTGGAGATGCCCCCCCCCAAACGAAGAAAATCCCGAGTGGGAGGGCCCCCCAAAAGCAAGGAGCCAAAAAGGCATCCCTCCAACCTCGTGTCGGCTGTTCGCCAGCCGGCGCAGCAGATCGGGGAGCGTATAAAAGATGGGGCAGGGGCACGGGTGTGGTTCGGAGGAAAATCGCTCGAAACGGCTCCTGGAAGAAGGGGATGTGAACATCCAACTGGGCTTGTTCACCTGACCCAACCTTGGACTATCCCCCCCTCGGCAAACCCCCGAGCAAGAGCGGAAGGGGCCCCCATCCTGGCACGGCGAGCCGCCTTGGGAGGGACTCGCAAGCCAAAAGAGCCATGCTGACAGCTACACTAGAGGAACAACAAACGCAGGAGCACAATCTCACGGAGGACCGCGCAGACCTCTTGGATCGGCGCTGGACCCCCCTCCCTGGGAGGAGGAGGAGGAGGCGGAGGAGCAGGAGGAGCAGGAGGAGGAGGGGGAGGAGGAGGAGGAGGAGGAAGAAGAGGAAGAGGAGGAGAGAAGGGGGAGAGGAGGAGGAGGAGGAGAGGAGGAGGAGGAGGAGGAGGAGGAGGAGGAGGAGGAGGAGTAGGAGGAGAGAGAGCGCGAGGCAGACGGCGAAGGTTCGCTCCGCCGAGCCGCGCGGCCGCGGCCGCGCGTCTTCAGGGGTCCTGCACCGCATGGCCAAGACCCCTGGCCACGGGGGCCCGCCCGAAGGCAAGGCCCCCGACCGTGAGGAAGCCGACCTCCGAGACGGACTTACCCATGCCGTACAGGGAGGCGGCCGCCCGGCCGCAGCGAGGCGGTCGAGGTTGCCCTGGAGCGCCTGCAGGTCCTCCGCGAAGGTGTCCCTGCACTCGGCCGCGACCGCGGCGCCGCCTGCTCCCAGAGCAGGCGTCGCGCGCGCCGCCGCCGCCGCGCCCCAGACCTCGACCGCGTCGGTGTCGGTCCTGCGGATCTGCCGTCGAGGAGCGGGCGGGGCCACGCCGGGGCCGCGACCCGCCACCAGCCCGTCCGCCCACTCGTCGTCCAGCTCCTCCTGCATATCGGCCGGCTCAGCAGCGGGCGCAGCAGCGACCTCCAGTAGACGGAGGCCCGCGGGGGCAGGCTGCGGGCGGCGCTGCCGCCGCGGCCTGCGACCACCCCCCACGGCGCCGTCCATCTCGGCGTCACCGCGCGTCTCGCCGCCGTCGGCGCGAGCAGCGTCGGCCGCGGCCCCGCCGCAGCCCGCAGCGCCGCCGCCACGACCACCACGCCCCCGTCGCCGTCGCCGCCTCCCAGGGGCAGCAGCAGCGCCAGGCGCGGGCGCGGGCGGCGGTGTCGCGGGAGCCCGAAAGCTCGCCACCGCCGCGCGCAGCAGGCCCTCGGCGGCCCGCAACAGGCGCACTCCCGACTGGGAGTGGCCTGCCGCGAGGCCCGCCGCAGCGTGCGTCGCCAGGAGCGCCCCGCGGGCTGCTATCACGGCGACGCGCTGCTGCGAGAGCGCACCTGGCATTGCCCCGCAGCGAGCGCGGCGTGGCCGCGGCCCAGCGATGCGGAGTTGAGCCCAAATGGTACTTGAGCCAAAATGGCTACGGAGGAGGAGTAGGAGGAGGAGGAGGAGGAGGAGGGGGAGGAGAAGAAGGAGGAGGAGGAGGAGGAGGAGGAGGAGGAGGAGGAGAAAGAGGAGGAGCGCACGGAGCGCGCCATGGGCGGCGCCGGAGGCACCGCCAAGGGGGGGCCCGCGCAGATACAGGAGATCGGCACGGAGGTCTGCAGAAAAAATGCTGCATGCTACTCTCTCATGTTCGATACAGTCGGGTCGTTGACCTAAGGAAACCTAAATAAGGAACGAGGCCCCTTTTTTCCATAAGTTAGACTTCGATTCCCCATCGAAAACATAAGGAAAACATGAGGCAAGCTGCGAAACAATTAAGGAACATGGAGCCCCTCCCCAACGAAAAGGATTCCTTCTTCAGCGACCCGACTGTACGCCGTGTCCGCTGGACACTGGGGAAATACAGTCGGCCTCGCTCGGCCAGGACACGCGAGAGGACACAAGACCCTTCCGAGGTCCACGTTGCCACAGGAATGTGGGAAGCATGGGTCGCGAGACACAAGACACAAGGGTACACTTGATTGGACAGGGTCGACCCACTAATCTGGGCCGACTGTAGTTCTCTTGAATACTACATCTCAACCTCTGACTCACCCTCAAACGCTGGCTAAACTTGCTGGTCAATCGGGACAAGGGTGGGTTAGAAAGACCAACTTGACGTGTGATCCGTGTACCGAGCGAGGCCACACATTCAGAGGACCGTAAATCGACGGCGAGCCTGGTGGGGTGGGAAGCGAGAATATGCGGGCCTTCTCAGAAGGTTCGGAAGTCCCCTGGCCTTTTGAAAAAGTGTCCTGGGCTTTCCCCGAAAACACAGACAACTTCTCAGCAGGCGCGAGGGCTTCTCTGAGAGGCCCGAAGGGAGGAAACCACTACGACCCCAGGCTGCGCCCCTGCAGTCCAGTCGGCGGTGGACAAACCTCCCTTTGGCAAACCTCCCTTTCGTGAAAACGGCCCGGGACCGAAACCGACGGACCTGGACCCGCAAAAATGACGGCCGCGACGCCCTCTCGCGAACCGAAAACGGCCAATTCGCTAATCGACGTGTCGGGGTAGGAGGTCTATCAACCTCCGAACGGTCAGGGAGGCCTCCGAAGCCGCGTGAGAGCGCTCCAAGAAGCCCAAGATGGCCTCCGGATGACCAAGCAGTTCCCCAAGAAGCCCCAAATAGGGCTCCCAGGGGCCATCCCGAAAGAGGCCATCCCGAAAGAGGCCAATTCGCTAATCGACGTGTCAGGGTAGGCGGCCTGTCCACCCCCGACGCAGGAGGGTCCACGCAGCAGGTCCTCTGGCAGGCGCGCGGTGCCAAAGCCCCCCTTTTGAGGCCTCGCGCAGCGTGCTGGGAGCAACGACCTGCCGGATCGGGATGCTCCGAGACCACCGCAGCACGGCCACCAAGAGTGCAGAGCAGGGACCCGAAGACGGCCATGGGCACTCGCAGGGGGCACTGAGCATCGTCAGGGGGCCGCATACGAACCCTACGCCTACCCCCCACGATTTCTGAGGGGGAGGGTGGGGGTAGGGGTAGGGTTCGCATGCGGCCCCCTGATCGTTTAACCGATCCCCATCCCCAGCGGCGTGGCCTGGGCCCCACTGGCCGATGTACCCCCCTAGATGGGTATGTAGGTAGTTCCCTTCTGGGTTTCGAGGGGTGCATCCCCGACTGTGGGGGTAACGTGGTGGGGGTCTCGAAAGGGATGGGGATGGGCATGGGGATTGACTAAACGACACCGAGGCACGGAGACTTCCCGAGGCGGCCCCGAGAGGACCCCGAGATGGCCCAAGAAGGCCCCGAGGGCATTCCAACAGGGCCCCTTGTAAGCGACGGGAGGACGGGGAGAAACTGGTCTTATGTTCGAGAGCATGGCGATCTTACGCGGAGGCGTGCGTGAGCCGCCAGCGCGGCTCGCCGCGCGAAGCCAAGGACGCTCACGTGCGCCCTCACGCGGCAATCTTACGCCCGAGTGTCCGCGCAATCGACTACGTTGCCATTTGCCGTCGCTCTGGTCCAAGAGGACCCCGAGAGGTACGCAACACTGCCCAGAAGGCAGACGCCCCACGAGAACCTCGGTGCGCCCCGGATGCCCCGGAGCGAGTCCATAAGATAGTGAAGCCGAGTGTTGCTGGGCGGGATGGATGAAGTGACGGTGTACATTCTTCAAGATTGTGTGCCCTGGGCAGGGTGGGCTATCGGGCCCCTAAATGGATGAAGTTACGGCGTACATTCTTCAAGATTGTGTGCCCTGGGCAGGGTGGGCTATCGGCCCCTAAATGGATGAAGTTACGGTGTACATTCTTCAAGATTGCGTGCCCTGGGCAGGGTGGGCTATCGGGCCCCCTAAAGGCGATGAGTAGGCGATTTGGGGCCGATGCATCCCCCGCTGAGCCTGTCCCCCCGTGTACGGTGCCCCGGATCAACTCAAGCTTTGGGCCAGCTCGGGGTTGAGAAAAGGCCCCCCGGCCAGGAGCCAATGCGGCGGGCTCGTGCCGTGACGACTTCGGCGCTAACCTCTGACACCGCGCGGATCGTGCCACCGTGAACGACCGAGGCTCTCCGAGCGCGCAGATAATGGCAGTGCATGAGTGGCCGCCGGTGGCGTTCAACCACGGCCCGCCCGCGGTGCGGTCGACGCCCAGCCGACACGACAGGCACCGACCGTATGCGCCAAGACTTGATCCAACGCGGGCCTGAGCCGGCCCGGAGGTGGTACTCGCCTGCCTTCTTGGGGGGCCACATGCAAACCCTAACCCCCACGATTTCTGAGGGGGCCCGAGGAGGAGGAGGACGAAGAGGAGGAGGAGGACGAGGAGGAGGACGAGGAGGAGGACGAGGAGGACGAGGAGGACGAAGACGAGGAGGAGGAGGAGGAGGAGGAGGAGGACGAGGACGAGGAGGAGGAGGAGGAGGAGGACGAGGAGGAGGAGGAGGAGGAGGCCCCCTACTTCTGCCATCATCGTCCGACCTCCCCCCCGTCCCCGCTGGCCCCGGCCCCGCGGCTCGACCTCCCCCCCCCCCGATCTGGCAGACATCCCCGCGGGGCACGAGCTGGAGAGTCCTCGGCTCCTCTGAGATCAGCAGGCGCCGGTCCGAGAAAAGGAAGGCAAAAGGCCTGGGCACGGACCTCTCCGAGTGTCCGTGGTCCCCAGCGTGCCGCCCGCGGTTCCCGGGCGCTTGCCGCAGGACGTGTTCGAAGCCACGGGCACCCCCAAACGGGCCAAGAGGGCCCCGAGACGCCTCTGATCTGCAATCCAAAGCGCGGTGGCGGGAGGGGTCGAAAGCCAATGGGACAGATGACGTCTCCGTCATCTGCCTTCCGCCCGCCCGCCGGCAGGAGGGACGGGGTGACGGAGTGGGACGGGGAGGGATTCAGGGGGAGGCAAGCAGGGCGAGGATGGGGAGGAGTGGGAATGAGGAGGATGGGGAGGAGGAGGAGGAGGAGGAGGAGGAGGAGGAGGAGGGGGAGGAGGAGGAGGAGGAGGAGGAGGAGGCCCGCCCTTGGCTTGCAGGTCGGCGATGTGCTCTACGTACGAGAGGGGGATGGTCAGCAGGGGCTTGACAGAGCACCTTCCACCCTCGCCGCTGATGCTGGTGCAGGCAGGGAGGGAAGAGCTTCTGCGGAGGAAGAGGGGAAGAACCAGGAACAGGGAGCAGAGGAATGGGATCAGGATGAACAGGGAGCCCACAAAGGACGTACGCGCCCAACTATGTACATGAACACGGCCCCTCGATCCTCGAGACCCGCCGCGCAATGCGTACTCTCGAAACCAGCGTGGATTCATGTACGTGTACGTCCTTCTTTCGCTCCCGGATGAAGGGGAGGCGACGAGGAGGAACCATAAGGAGAAGGAGGAGGAGGAGGAGGAGGAAGTATTACACACATGGTCAGGAAAAATGCGGGCAACTCGCAAACGGTCATGACCACCTACCAAATCGCCCCAACCCACTCCGAAGACCCGAATTTGGGGTTGGAAGGGTACGGGTTCCATGTGTTTTTTCCGTGTTCCCCGATCCCCCTCCCGTCCACTCCCTCCCCCGCCAGTTCCACTTTCCAGCCTCTAAGTGTGAAAGTCTTGCTTTCTGCTTTTTACGATGAATGGTCGAAGCCTGCTCGAGTTGGGGAGAAGCAGAAACGGGCCCTGTGTGCCACCACTCGGGGGGCTTCCCACAATTTTTAGGGGGTCCTGGGACTCGGAAAATATATGAGATTCGCGCCCCCGGAATCATACTCCCTCATAAGATGCGCCGTATGCGTGCCCCTTCCCAGGACATCATCCCTCGTCAATTACAAAACATACGCGTCCCCGAAAACTGAAATCCTTGCACATTACACTGCGTTCGCGCCCCCAAGGCAATCAAGTCGCGCATCCGAGGCACAACTCTTGCAAGTAACGCAACATCTGCGTCCCCGAAGCCAAGATCCTCGTAAATTACTCGTTCTGCGCGTCCCCGAAATCATACACCCTCGTAAAGTATGCAGTATTCGCGCTTTCGAAGCCGCAGTCCTTCATAAAAAAGGCCTCCAAGATGGTACAAGAGGCCTCCGAGACGGCCCAAGAGTGCTCCAAGGCGCCCAACATGGTCCCAGAACGGCCCAAGAGGCTTCCAAGAGGCTCCCAAGGGCGCTCCAAGAGCACCCCCAAGAGGGGCCCAAGAGGCCAACATCTGCGATTGTCCTCAGGTGTCCGATGGATCTCTGCACGCTCGCCTTTTCGGGCTTCCGATGCTCCAAGATGGCTCAAGAAGCTCCTGAAGTTCGCCCAAAGATAGCCCAAGAGGCTCTCAAGAGCGCCCGAAGACAGTTCAAGAGAGCCCCAAGACGGCTCAAGAGCCCCACAAGACGGCCCAAGAAGGCCCCAAGACGGCACCAAGAGTGACCCGGGACGGGGGACGCACAAACCCAAGTGGCCCCCCGTTCGGAGTCCCGACGCTGCTTCACGACGGCGCCTGGGCCTCACGACGCAGCTCTTACATGCATGCCCCATTGTCCGAGAGACGCAGCCCTTTCGGACACACACACACACAGACACACAGACATATCTATGCATATATATATATATATACATATAATTATACGCCTATACATATTTGAACATACACACACACACATATATCTATATATACATATATATATATGTATAGACACGCAAACACGAATACACAGATGTGTGCGCATGTGTCTCTTCGCGGTGCTGCAGCGTCCCCCGAGCGCAGGCCTCCCAGGAGAAGCGAAACACTGGTCGGGCTTGCACACTCGTATGCGGGTAAACCTCCAGGCCTAGGGCATGTCCCCCTACATGCGGATCTTGGACGAAGAGTTACGCAAAAAACAGTCATCAAACATCAACAAAAAATAGTGAAACAATCGTCCGTTGACTATTTGATGACTATTTGTTGTCCATTTGTGAACATTCCTCCTGTGGACTATGTGTTGACTATGTGTTGACTATTTGTGAATATTCCTCCTGTCGAGAAACAGGCCCGCCTAGACTCCAGGCGCGTCGGGGCGCCGCCACGGCCGCCGCAGAACCGTCGGGGCCGCCGACGCGGGCGACGGCGGCGGCGGCAGCGGCCGACGCGTCCGAAGCAGCAAGCGTGCAGAGCCCGACCGGGGAGGAGTTCGGCGCCCCCAGCGCTCGGCGGGGGGGGCAGAGGAGCAGCAGGAAGGAGCAGCATAGCAGCGGGACAGAGGACCTCCTCCTCCTCCTCCTCCTCCTCCTCCTCCTCCTCCTCTTCCTCCTCCTCCTCCAGCGTCTCTCCCTGTCTCTCTCGCGATGTTGCTGCGTACTTGTCATTTTGGTATATCCCCGACTGTCTCTCTCTCTCTCTCTCTCTATATATATATATATATACACACACTTATACGCATATATATATATATATACACAGATCGCTCCCCTCCAGCCCGGTGCTGCTGCTCCCGTTCCCGTCCTGCACGTGTCGTTCGCATGGCTCCGCGCCTCACGCCCCGGCAAGATGCGAAGTCATGCGCTGGGGCCCCCGCTGGAGGCAAGCTCGCAGTCTTTGTCGACTCAGGCTCAGAGGCGCGAGTGCCTTGGCGCGCCTGAAAGCTGATGTGGTTTATTTCTCCTCCTCCTCCCCCTGCTCCTGCTCCTCCTCCTCCTCCTCCTCCTCCTCCTCCTCCTCCTCCTCCTCCTCCTCTTGGTTCCTCATGGCTGTTTAGTCTGCAGACGAAGCCACACCCAACTCAACACCCGATGGCAGAGCCGGTGTTGACAAGCCGGTGTTGACAAGGTGGCGCACCAACCAAGAGGGGGGGCTTCTTCTGGAGGAGAGGACAAACGACGGAAGAGGAAAAGCAAGACAGGCGGGAAGGAGCGGTAGGGCAGTCCTCCTCCTCCTCCGCCTCCTCCCACTCCTCCTCCTCCTCCTCCGCCCTGCCTGGTCGCTCCGTGGCCCCTCCCAGAGGCGCCCCTTGGCGTAGTGGCGGTTGTCGAATGTCACCTGGCGCGCTTCTGCGCGCCTCGTCAGCGTCTTCGTCGCTCTTTCTCCTGTACGACCAGGCCCTCTCGCAACGTACAGACCTCAGCACCCTGGGCCGAGGACCTCGAGATGAAGCAGCAGTGATACTCGGAGTGGGGGTGGGCAGGTGGTGCTCAAGCGTTCGCTGCATGCCGAAACGCGATCGCGGCGTGCAAACACAAGGGAGGCAAGGAACGTCCAGAATCGGCACGCTCGTTGCAGATATCTAACTCGGCGACACGGGCCCATTTATTTCTGCTCCAGCTGTGTCCAAAAGTGGCCCCTGGGCCGTGGACGTCGAAAGTGAAGAACAACCACTGGCGCAATGCTGTCGGGCCCCCAGGGGTGTGGGCCTGAACGCTGCCCCATTCGCTCTCTCCTCCTCTCTCTCTCTCTCTCTATCGCTCTATCCTCTCATCTCTCTCCCTCTAACTCACTTTAATATATATATATATATAGATATAGATATGTATCCCTCCCACTCGTGCTGAAGCGTCTCTCTCTCTCTCTCCCCCTCTTTCTGAGCCAGGAACTGAACACTGACACTGGTCCGACTCAGGCTCGTCCAGCAGCTGGTCTCGCGGGCTGTTGCCGAGCCTGAGAGAATGGTGGCAGTTCTCGATGGCTGCCCACGTGCATGCGTCCCCCCGACGCGGCATCTGCATCAACCTCCATGGCGTCCGTCCACCTCTGCGCAGGGGACCTCCAAAGAGGCTGCCTCGCTACAATAGATGGACTCGCCACGCAACGCCCGCACAGAGAGCTGCTCACCGAGGCCATGATCAAATCGAGCTCGGCCCTATTCCTGTTCATCGGACACCTCTTCGGCAACGCCTGTCCAATTGCCGTGTCCTCCTCCTTCTCCCCCTCTCCTTCTCGCTCTCCAATCTCATCCTCCCCTGCTGATCAGACTCTTGCCGAATCCTTCCCCCATCCAATTTCCCAGCATTCCCCGGTCTCCTCTGTGTCCTTCTTAACAATATTATGCTCCTCGGTCTCTATTGCTAGGTCCGCATCCGCCCTCTTCGCAATTATTATTTCTCCTCATCATGTTCATCATCCTCGCTCTGTTCTCATTCTGCTCCGCTTTCATCCTTCCGTCCCTCCTCCCATCCTCCGTCTGTCCCTCACCTCTCTATATCCTCTTCCCGCACAGAATTCTCAAACATGGAACCCTCCAACCTGTAATCGGGAGCGGCAAAGAGGGGGGTGTCCAAGAGGGGGGGGTGCAAATCATGACCGGCGGCATGTGCGCGGCCCAGCGGGGGGGCCAGGGACGTAATGAAATAAGAAGAGGCGCCATGAGATCTGGGGAAATATCATGGCCCGCGCCATGATATCCCCCCCCCCCCCTAGTCATCACCCCCCTCTTTTCCGCCCCCGATGTAAGGGGTCACCGCATCCGCGGTGCCAGTCCCGCCACAGCCGGGGTTGCCGGCCACCCTGCAAAACTCGGCCTCGTGGCAGTCCTTGCAGCCTGGCCGCCACAGGGCGGCGACGGGCACGACAGGAGAAGCGACGGGTTCCCCCCCCCTCGAGGTCTACTCCAGATTTCGTAATAAAAGGAAGGGAGGGGGTCGCATTTCGGGGGGGGTCTCTTCCAGGCTGTCTTGGAGGGCCTGGGGGGGTCTGGGGACGATGTTTTGGAGGGTTCTCCCACGGGGGGGGGGTCTGAAATGGCTTGTCCTGGAGGGTCCAGACCCCCTTCCTTTTATTACGAAATCTGGAGTATCCATCTCGCTCGTCCATCTCCGAAGTGCAGTGGCAGGCACCGCGGCTGGAGCACAGGGCGCGCTGCTGCTCTTGTGGCGCCTCTTCCCCCGAGGCAGGACTCGTGCCGCGCATGCCGGCCCCCTGCTGCCCCCGGGCCTGCGCCTGCCCTGCCTGGCTACGGACGAGCAGAGACGGGCAGCAGGAGGACGAACACGACGAGGACGACCAGGAGGACAACGACCAGCCGGGAGACCGCACGGCGTCCGGCGCCTTCTCAGCCTGCCCCGCGGCAGGCCGAGACGGGGGAGGACGCCCCGGCCCGCCTGCCGTGCGCGCGGCGGGCACGTCGATCTGACGGTCGCGACACACGGCATGACGCTCCTGTCCTCTGTAACTAGGGGGCCCAAAAATAGACACCACCACCACCTCCCTCCCCCCCTCGCCTCTCGCTGGAGAGAGGAGGGAGGAGGAATCGACGCGGTGGTGGGGTATGTTCTTTGGGCCCCCACTCCGGCGTCGTCGTCGTCGTCGCCGTCGTCGGCGTCGTTGTCGCCGTCGTCGGCCCGCAAGAGGGCGCAGGGAGGGTGAGGAGGGGGCGCGCAGGGAGGGTGAGGAGGGGGAGGAGGGCAAGGAGGAGGAGGAGGGGGAAGGAGAGGGGGAGGAGGGGGATGGGGAGGAGGAGGAGGGGGAGGAGGGGGAGGAGGAGGAGTTGGGGCCCTGGGGCCCGCAGAGGCTGCCCGCAAGGGAGGCGGCGCCCCGCCGCGAGGGCGGGGGTCGGCCGGCGGCGGTCCCGAGCACGCGGCGATCCCGAGATCAGGAGGGGGCCGCCGAGGTTCGACCCCGCCGCCGTCCCACGGCGCAGCCAGCTCGGTGGGCACTCGCGGCGGTGCGTCTGCTTTTGCTGGGCCTGTTTTTTCCAACACCACCACCACCACCGCAAGTTGGATGGTGGGATGGAGGAGAAGGGCGAGAGGAGAAGGAAGACGAAGCGGAGGAGGAGGAGGGAGGAGGCGGAGGAGAAGTGGAGGAGGAGGAGGATGGGATGGGGAGGAGGGAGATGCTGACGAGGATGGGGGAGGAGGAGGATCGGCGGTGTGATTGTCGTTGTTCCACCACCACCACCGGCTGTCTCCCGAGAGCTGCGCGGGCCGCGGCTGGCGCTGAGCGCGCGCGCTTGGGCGCGCGCACCCCGCCCGCCCTCCCTCCCCTCCCCGATCCCCCCCCCCTCCCCTCCCCTCCCCGTCCACCCCCCCTCCCCCCTCCCTCCCTCCCTCCCACTCCTCCCCCCTCCCCTCCCCTCCCTCCCGCCCTCCCCTGCCTCGCGCACCCCGCCCTCCCTCCCTCCTCTCCCCGTCACCCCCTTCGCGCCCTCGCGGCGCGTCGGCCCTTCGTCTGTCCTTGTCTCCTGCTGCTGCCACTGGGCTCCACTTGCGTTGGTAAAAAGTATTCGTTTTGTGTACAGTAGGGGCCGACCACAAGAAACCTTCCACAAGAAACCCAAATCTGGAATCCCAGGACGTCCTTAAAGGACGTCCTGGGATTCCAGGGTTCTAGCATGATGTACGTGCGGAACGAACCCCTGCAGCCGCTTCAACGCAGAGGCGCTGATCTGAACGTGAGACGCGAGGTCATACCTGGCGCCCTTGGGGCACCTCGGCCCAGGGGCACCTCTAGCAACACCCGTCCTTTGGCTTTTGGTGTGGAAACCTCACGCTCTCCATCGCAAAACGGCACCGAAACCCAAGAGAAACCCAGGGCGCCCTGGAGGCAAGGATGGAAGAGGAGGAGGAGGAGGAGGAGGAGGAGGAGGAAGAGGAGGAGGAGGAGGAGGAGGACTCTTGGCCATGGGCCTCCCCTGCGACATCGCGCGACGACGGGCGCCGCGCGCGGCCGAGGGCGCCAGACCAGGGCCCTGGGTCCCCGCGGAGCGGGTAGACGCCTCGCGCGGCCGTCAGGGCGCTGAGGCGAAGCCCCGGGGTCCGCGAGGGGGCCTCTGGTGGCTCTGCGACGCGCGCGCGCGCTGCAAGGCCTGCAGCAATCGCCCCCGCGGGGGGTCCTTTTCCGCCTCCTCCTCCTCCTCCTCGTCATCCTCCGCCTCCTCCGCCTCCTCCTCCTCCTCGTCCTTCTCCTCCCCCTCCTGTCGTCCGCAAAGATTGGGACGCACAGAGGCATACTACTACTATATATCCTCTTTGGAGGCGCGCGTCCGACACCCACCTTGTAGTATATGTCGTTTCCTGAGCGGCATGGCCAGAAAGCGCCCGCCACGGCACATGTACTATAAGATGCTTCGGTGCGCACGTCGCGGGCGACGCACATATAGTATAGGCAAGTTGGGGTGGCGCCGAACAACCGCCCCCGCTGCCTCAAGCGAAGCGCCGTTCACCGACAAGGCGCGCCGCCATACCGCCCCCTCCATATACAGTGGAGGCCAGTCTACCAGAAACCTTCCACGATTCGCATCCGTGGATTTTCTGATGTGCGGAACGTCAGACTCTCCATGGCAAAACCATCGAAACCCAAGAAAAACCAAGGGCACCCTGAAGGCCAGCGGGGTGCTTCTTGGCATGGACCTCCTCTGTACCGTCTCCCCGATGCAGCCCAGAAAACCACCAGTCATTTGGCTTCTCTTGCGAAGGGAATGGTGGGGCGGTCCAAGGGCTCGTCCCACCGTCAGGAAATTGATGATCACGAGAGGGCTCAGAAAGGGGCTGAGAACACGAGGGGGGTGAGAGAGAGGGGGGGTCGAGGATGACGAGGAGGAATCTTGAGTTTGCGTTCTAGGGCGGCTTCCAGTTCAGTCAGATCAGGCGAATTGAGGATGAACGAGAGGGTTGAGGGGGTCGAGAAGGACGAGGAGGACGAGGACGAGGAGGGGTGGGTAGAGAAGGACGAGGAGGGATTATCGAGGATGACGACAGGGTTGAAGTCGGGGAAGATGAGGACCACGAGGCTGATGAAAGAGGCCGCGGAGGACGAGGGAGACACAAGGACGACGAGACGTTTGTGAGGTGGCCGAGGAGGACGTGGACGGGCGAGAGCCAGAGAAAAGAGTCGAGGAGGATGTGTAGGGGAACGCAGACGATGAACAGGCGGCGCTGGAGGGACAGGAAACAGGTACAGTTGGACCTGGGCCGGAGCAACACCCTTCGGGAACATGAGACCCTCCGCTGGTCAGAATCGAAGAACCTTCGAGGGTGCCTCACCCAGGATGCACAAAAACATCCAACACACACGAAGAACACTAAGGTGCCCGTCCCGAATCGACCTCGAACTTATACCTCGGTCGGGCTGTGAAGGAAAGGACGAGGATGAAGCGTAGGAGGACGAGGGGGATGGACAGGCGGTGCTGGCGGGACAGGAGGCAGATACCCCGAGGAAGCATCAAGCGAGAAACATTAGTAATACTGCGGCAAGCGGCGCGGGAGCAGCCTGAATACTTGACTACGTCCTCCCCTAGCCCACGGGCCGCTCGGCAATTCAGGTGCCCCCGTCGCACCGCATCCTTCCCATTCACCTCCTCCGCCTCATCATCCCCCTCCGTCAATTGATCCATCCTTTTCATCCTTGCCCTGATCCTTCCTCAACACTGACACGCTATATTCAGCAAAATGAGCCAGACGTAAACCAAGTATTACTCTCTCTCGTCCTCGTCCGCATGAACTATGTGATCCATGATTCTGACATGTATCCTACCCCTCCCTTATCCAACATTCAGGGCCTGCGTCCTTGCATGCAGGATGTGATGATCTCGATCCTACCGAGACGACCATACCACCTCCAGCAGCAACATGCGAAACGAACGAGCGATGCCCTGACCAGGATCCGACGAGGGCCCCACAACTGATCAACAACAGGAACAATTGCGTGAAGTGCGCCCGGACATGTCCCATGGCGAACTTTCTGCTCTTGCTGACCAAATCCACCTTCCCAACTAGCATCCACTTCAAACCCGGATATGGCAACGAGACACGGAACGTTTGAGGTGTCTGCCAAAGTTGACCCATGCGCCGTGCCGATGGCAGGGGCAAGGGGCAAGGGAAGGGAGGGGGAAAAGCGAAGGCGGAGCGGGGCGCTGCGGGTTCAAAGCGAGCAACCAACACCACATGATGGAGGAAAAACGAGAGGGACAATGTGTTCTCCTTTACACCTCCTGCTCCTTTTGGCCAATCCTCACCCCCCCCCCCCCGCATCCTCCTACTCCCTCCCCTCCACCTTCGTTACTTCTGCTCCTCATCCTCCTCCTCTTCCTCCTCTACCTCCTCCTCCTGCCCCGCCTCCTCCTCCAAGGTTGTGCCGAGGCGAACGCAGCGGAGTAAGCCGCCACCGAGTTGCCCCTGCCACGAGCAGGATCGCGGCAACAGCTCCCGTCCCACCCTTCCTCCAGTAGATTGCGCCGAGACGCGCACGGCAGCGTAAGTTGCCAAACGGCTGTCCCTGCCAGGAGCAGGAACACGGCGGCATCTCCCTTCCCTCCTTTCCCGCGGTTTCTGGGCTTTGCTGAGGCGCACACGGCGGCGTAAGCTGCCGCTGAACTGCCCCGGCCATAAGAACGAACACGGCAAACGCCGACGACGACGGCGTGATTTGATCATAGAAATGCCGGGACGGTCGGTCCCTGCACAAGAGGAGGGGCACATGAAGGTCTGGGCGGACGGCGAGCTGGTCGGGGAGCATCCCGCGGGGCACGCGCCGCGGCCTGTCCCCAGAGGCCACTTCACCATCGCGGGCCCGTGCATACGTCATGGAATTGTTGCGCCGCACCTTCTCCGTGACATTAGAAGTAGGGACCCCCGCGGGTGCATCGCGCCCAGAGCAGGAGCGCCCTGACCTTCGCTGCGGGCCGTTCGGCCCTCAGAGGTGGATGCTCGACCAAGGCCATCCACCCGGGAACCTTCCACCCCTTGCGGAAGCGCATCGTCTCAGAATTCCCGAACTCCCCATCCTCCTCCTCCTCCTCGATCCTCCTCCTCCTCCTCCTCCTCGATCCTCCTCCTCCTCCTCATCCTCCTCGATCCTCCTCATCGATCCTTCTCATCGATCCAAATCCTCCTCCTCCCCCTCCTCGATCCTCCTCCTCGATCCTCCTCGATCCTCCTCCTCGATCCTCCTCCTCCTCCTCATCCTCCTCGATCCTCCTTCTCGATGCTCCTCCTCCTCCTCCTCCTCCTCCTCCTCATCCTCATCCTCCTCGATCCTCCTCCTCGATCCTCCTCATCGATCCTCCTCCTCCTCCTCCTCGATCCTCCTCCTCGATCCTCCTCCTCGATCCTCCTCCTCGATCCATCTCATCCTTCTCCTCCTCCTCCTACTCCTCCTCCTCCCGCATCCCCGCCGCCGCAAACTGCGCCGGCGCGCTGCCCCCTCCCCCCGGCGGTCCCAGTCCATGGTCGCCTCCGCGACGGCCTCGGAGTCGAAGGGCGCGGGGGGCGCGGAGGCGCCTCGGCCCGCGCCGCGTCGAGGCGCAGGCGCAGGCGGAGGGGGAGGCGGAGGGGGTCCCAGGCGAGGGGGGAGGAGGAGGAGGAGGAGGAGGAGGAGGAGGAGGAGGAGGAGGAGGAGGAGGAGGAGGAGGAGGAGGAGGAGAAGGAGGAGGAGAGGAGGAGGAGGAGGAGGGGAGGAGGAGGACGAGGGAGGGAGGAGGGGAGGAAAAAGGAGGGGAGGAGGAGGAGGAAGAGGAGGAGGAGGAGGAGGAGGAGGAGGAGGAGGGGGAGGAGGGGGAGGAGGAGGAGGAGGAAGAGGAAGGAAGGAAGTAGGAGGACGAGGAGGGGGGAGGAATAGGGAGGAGGAGGAGGCGGAGGAGGAGGAGGATGCGGAGGCGGGGGAAAGGGGGGGGAAAGGGGGAGGAAGAGGGAGGAAGACCGCTGGGGAAGGGGACGGGGGACTCGCCATCGCTCGGACGTCCTTTCCCCGCGGATTGTTCGGTGTCGTGCGTCTGCATCTTCGCGAGGAGAGCCAAGATGCTTCTCGATGGCCCTCGCGGAAGAAAACATGCACACGTCCGATCGACGCCATGGAAGGTGGGGGGGGGCACGAGGAGGGGGTGGGGGGGGGGCGAGGAGGGGCGAGGAGAAGGGACGAGGATGGAGCAGGGAGAGGCGAGGGCGGAGGCGGAGGCGGAGAAGGAGGATGTACGGCGGGGCCTGCCTGGATGCGCGCGCGCCGAGGCGGGGGAGGAGGGGGAGGAGAAGGAGGAGGGGGAGGAGGAGGATCGAGGAGGAGAAGGAGGATGGGGATGAGGAGGAATGGGGGGGGAAGGGGGAGGAGGAGGAGGAGGAGGAGGAGGAGGAGGAGGAGGAGGAGGACGAATGGGGGAGGAGGAGGAGGATGAGGATGAGGATGAGGAGGAGGAGGAGGAGGAGGAGGACGAGGTCAAGGACGGCAGAAAACAACCCCCTCACTTCGGCACAATCTTGGCGGCCTTGCAAACGAAGAGCCGGAGAGCCAGAGTAGTACCAATGCCACGTCGGTCGGGCGACCCCATCATAGTGTGCCACGGTTTAACACGTGTGCCAACTCCCTGCGCAGAAGGCGAACGAGCAACCCGCACAACTCGAGACAGACGACGGGCGCGTCGCTAGCCACCTTCCACATCGGCGGGGACCCCGCTCGGGCCCCACCTCGGTGGTTCGAAGATGGGGCCCTGAGGGATGGGGTCCTAGGGACGAAATGCCTCAAACGGCGTAAGTCCGCTTTGGATCCCTTCCTATTCTTCGGCCCCCATTGAAGGGGCCCTGGGACACACAGATAAATACACACAAATGACCGGATTCCCAATATTTTCCCATATTTGCTGGCGGAGCAGGAGGAGCAGGTGGAGCAGGAGGAACAAGTGCAGCAGAATGGGAGGGCCAGAGCAAAGCCAGCATGTATCAGCGCACGATGCTGCAATACACCCCCCTACCCGTCCCAAGGCCTCACCTTCATACGTCCCTGCAGGTCCTCCTCCCCGCTGCAGGGAGCGCCCCGATTGTAAGACGAGCAACGCATGGGCCTGGCATTCAGGCGAGTGCTCCGCTTCCAAAGAAACAACTTTGCATCCATCGAACGAATGAACATGATGAGTGATGCGATCGACCATGAAATAACTCAATAAACGGTCCCCCTCCGTGTAATTGCCCCACGAGTTTACACATCTCGCTTCAAGTCCGAGAAAGCTTGAAACACAAATTCAAAACAGACTCGCCCTCCATTTACGCACGTGTTCAATCCACTCGAATTTCTAGTCGTCCAGTGCGAATCAATCCCAAACGATACCCCAATTCTGCAGTGCAGACCCGCCCTCGATCCTCGAAGCTGACGGCAGAGTTCGAGACGAAGATGCGCGCCCGAGGCGAGAACCGCATCTTGAACACGAACGGGCCCGATATGTGGTTCTAACTGTTTCGGGGATCTTCTCACCCAGGTCAATCCAGACCCGGGTCAGTCAGGCCTTGCGGAATCATGCAAAAGTTCTACAAGATCCTGCACCCAAGCCCGGGCCAACGCGAAAAATCCAGCAAAACACTGCGGGATCCTGCACCCAAGCCCGGGTCAATGCGAGCCTGGCCGTGCAGGATCCTACAAGATCGGGCGCTCTGGCTGACCCCCGTTTGCATCCCCCCCCGTCTCCAGGCTCCCGACGGTATACGGTAACGGTCGCTCCGGGGGCGGTGGGGAGGGGGGGGGCAGGCAACGGTGCGGCTTGGGCAGGGCGGGGCACGTCGGGGCGGGGGCGCTCTGCGATCGCCATCGCACGTGCGCAGGCTCCACTGAGCGGGGGGGGTCCAGCCTCCCACCCCATACGTAGGATCGCTACCTCTACTAAGGGGGAGGGGCTTGGCCAGGGGAGCGGCCTGCGCGCGCCAAACCACCCCCAACTCATCAAAGTACTGTCGCGTGCGAAGAAGCATCACGCATCACGTTGAGCTTCCGCAATCTATGGGCCCCATTCAGCCTGACACCCGACAGCGCGCAATCCTGGTCGATTCCAGGACTGTGAATACAGGGAGACGGCCGAGGGGCCGTTCCTGTACAGGGCCCGTAGGTAGAGGCGAGGAGTGGAAGTCCTTTTCCAAAAGCACTGCGCAGCAAGCCGTGCTTCAAGGATAGCCAGCCAACACCTGAGCCACTACAGGTGCGGAGGGGATGCAATAGGGAAGTGAGCGGACTTCACACACACGGGCCGAAACCGAAACCGACGCACCTGGACCCGCCACAATGACGGCCGCGACGCCCTCTCGCGAGCTGAAGAACGGCCAATTCACTAATCACCGTGTCAGGGTAGGAGGTCTATCCACCTCCAGAGATTGGAATCTGGGACTCCAGAAGTACCTACGCTCAACGACCGACGGGTATGATGGATGACCAACTGACCTACGAAGACGGCGGGGGAGGGGGAGGGGGAGGAGGAGGAGGAGGAGGAGGAGGAGGAGGAGGGGGAGGAGGAGAAGGAGGAGGAGGAGGAGGAGAAGGAGGAGGAGGAGGAGGAGGACTATCAACCTCCGGTGGAGTTCAGGACACCCGCCGCCGACCACCTCGAAGATTGGCCAGCCGCACTGGCAGCGCCGACGCGTCGGCACGGCCCGCATCTCTGGCTGGCTACGCGCTCCGCTGCCGGGGCTGGCTTGGAGACGTCGCGTGGATCGCTCAGCCTGACGTTCCGCTCCTCGCGGCTTGAACTTAGCTTTCAGTCGGGCGTGTCCCCCCATACAGGGGGGATTTTGGGCGAGAAAAGCTAAACAATTCTCAAAAAATACCCCCAAATGCTCGCAACTTGTCAAACAATCGTACCCCTACTATTTTGTGACTACTTTTGAAGATTCCCCCTGTAGAGGGACACGCCCGACCTAAGCTTAGCTACCAGAGGCTTCTCGAGGCTTCTTCGAAACCAGGAGGGCTTCTGATCGGAAGCTGGAGCATGTACATTACCAGTGGCGGGCTGTTTTTCAATCCCAAGACCTCCGAGTGACAGAGTTCGCCAAAGGCCTTCAGAACCTTGAACGATCGCGGCTGCCTGACAACGAAATCGTTCAACACGGGCCGAATTCCGACTGCCACCAGCGGTCAACCTCTGATCGCCCGCGCTGGCATCGCAGCAGGGACGACCCGGCACGACCCTGCCGTAAGTCCTCGGGCGACGGAGTCGTTCGACTCGAACCCGTTCGCGTTTTCCGATGAAAGCGATCAACCAGCGCGTGAATTCAACTCGGTGCAACAAGCGTATCAAGCCTACCGTCAACCAATACAGTAAGGATACGCGATAAGGATGCAAGGGCCTTGGACGCCCATTTCGAAGCTTTTCGAAGCTGGCGAAGGATGGACCGAGGAGGCAAGGATGCAAGGGTACCCTTGGGAAGGTTGCCCATGCTTACTATGCGGGTTGACTGTAGACTGTAGGCATGGTGGGTAACCAGCCGTGCCATTTACCCTCGCGAGCCTGACATCGAGCTGCCTTGCTTTGAGCGCAGCATGGGGCACAACGAGCTGCCTTGCTTTGAGCGCAGCATGGGGCGCGCGCGGGAGTGCAGCAGCCTTGTCTGACCCTAAGATGTCCCAAAGTCCGAAGCGCGTCGCCCACGAAGCAAAAGTGGCGGACAACGGGAACGTGTCGAGCGCCAACAACTTGGCACAAGATGCTTCTTTCAGCGACGGCCGCACGCTTTCCGCCTTCCCCTCTTTTTGTTCCTCCTCCTCGCCCTCCTCCTCCAATTCCTCCTCCTCCTCCTCCTCCTCCTCCCTCCACCCTCCTCCTCCTTCACCCTCCTCCTCCTGCACCCTCATCCTCTTCCCCTTCTCCACGCGACACTCTTCCTCCTCGTCGTCACGCGTCCCCCCACTCCCACCCCCTCCCCCTCCACAGCCCTCCCCCCATTCCCCCCCTGGAAGGGGAACGTCAGGGGGGGGGGTGAACAGCTCCACAGGAGAAACAAAAGTCGGCGGCGGGCCCTCGACGGCCCAACCGCGCGCGCTCCTGGGCAGGGTGGGACAGTCGATGCTCTCCTCCTCCTCCTCCTCCTCCTCCTCCTCCTCCTCCTCCTCCTCCTCCTCCTCACCCCACGCACACGCCAACATGGATAGAGATAAGTGGATCTGACGAGTGGACGCCCGATCCACGGATCGGGGAACGCAGCGAATCGTGGCGAGGGAGCCCGCCGAGCGAGCATGGAAACGGGGCCCGCCGCCAATCAGCGCGCCGTAATCCATGTGCTGCACTTCCTTGTCTGTTGTTACCCTTGACAACCTCTTCCCCCCACCCCACCACACTGCGATAGCTAATCGCATACTCCTCGGCGGGGTGGGCTACAGCGGAGGCCAGTCCACTAGAAGCCTTCCACAAGAAACCTGACCCCGAGACCCCAGGACGTCCATAGATTTTTTTGGTGTGGGAACGTCACGCTCTCCGTGTTAAAACCCTGGGAACCCAAGAAGCCCAGGGCACCCCGGAGGCAAGCAGGGTGTCTCTTGGCATGGCCCCCCACTGTGCACCCGTGCGCCCTCCTGGGCCTGGCCGGGGAGGGCGCGGACACGTCCTCCCAGACCCCCGACGTCGACAGTTCCCTCAAAGCGTGCAGCCCGGAGGTCTCGACCCATTCTCCTGGGCTGGTGTTTCACTCCGGGTACGTTTCTGCACGGCCTGGGGCCCGTCGACGCGATGCGGCCTGCGGCAGCGCCCAGAACCTGGAATCGAGTCGAAGAGTCGGATCGCCAATCGGAATGAGTGGGATCCCATCTGAGATGGATGGGCGACTCGGGGTCAATTGAAGGGGCCCTCAGACACACAAATAAATATATACAAATAACGGGATTCCCCATATTTTCGTATATTTTCTTAGTTTTTGTCTTCCCCCCCACTTCCCAAATTTTCTAATTTTTTCTGCGGAATCGATGATTAATTGTGTCTGTGTGTTTGTTTCCCTCCTGATCAATGCGTTTCCCCCTGCGCCAATGCCCCTCCCTGTTGCGGGCCAGCGCTAGAGTGGATCGGGGATCCGTGGCGCTGGCGCGTGGCCGCCAGATCGACGCATCGGGGAACGTCACCACCAACAGGTGACGAGACAGTGCAGTCCGATTCAGCGACGGACGGCACCGAGCCTGCATGGAAACGGGACCCGCCGCTAACCCGCATCGAGGCGTCCCCGACTGAAACTTAGAAAAAAGAAGGAGCGAACGGTTCAATGTAGACTTCGGGAAGGTCCCGCGCGGACTGCTTGGATCGGCGCCAGATACCCATTCCCTGTCGCCAGTGGAAGCGTTGGAGGCGCCGTCAGGGGGGCCAGCGGCGTCGATTCAAGAAATCTCCGCGCGGAGCTCCGAAAGTGTACTCATGTATGTGCTGTTCTTCTTCGGCTGGCGCTGCCACTGACAACCTCCTTCCCTCGCGACGCTTCCTTACCCCCATCCTCTCCAACTCCCCGCCTTCGGTGGCGGCTCATGGAAGCCTCCCATAGCATCTTGTCGGCTCTTGCGAATCGACGCTGATCGACGCTACATCGACGCTAGTCGACGCCCAACCGACGCTGGTCGACGCCAAAACGACGCTAGACCTGCGCTGCCTCATCGACCCCCAGACGCGAATCGACGCTGAAGACGGAATTGAGAGGGTATACCAGGCTCCGATGACTTGCCACCGAGCCCACCTCTCTCGGGGATGGACAGACCCCCCTTCAGCAAAACGTGGTTTAGTGAAAACGACCTGAGGCCCAAACCTGGAGGGCGCGAGCCTGGAAAATAACGGCCACGGCGCCCTCTCGAGAACCGATAACGGACAATTCACTAATCGACGTGTCACTGTTGGGGGTTCTGTCCACCCCCGACTCTCCCACTCCCCGCCCACGTGCTCGCTCCCCGCCCCGCCTCTCGCGCCCTGCACGACCAGGCCGCCGCCCTCGCGCTGCGCGCTGGCCAGGCGCGACAGCGACGCCGCCGCCGCGGCGAGCAGCAGCGTGACGCCGCACACCACCGCGACGAGGTGCCGGTCGCAGGGCGACGCAGCGGGCCGCCGGTCCCACGACGCCGCGCCCACCGAGAAGCCTCTCACCTGGGCGCGCGCGCGCGCCCCCGCGGCGCCCGAGGAGCACTGCCGCGCGAAGGTGCAGCACGCGTGTACGGGCGCCTGCGCGCGGCACGACTGCGCGCGCGCGCCACGGTGCCACGCCGCGGCGACAGCCCTCTCTAGAGAAAGACAAAAACAAAACTACATAAACATAACACACCGAAACAAAACAAAACAAAACAACACAAAAGCCCTCTCTGGGAAAAGAAACAAAACGAAAAAACGGCATACAAATAAACTCTTGGCGCTCCGCGCGGAGTTCTTGGGTCCGCGCCCGAGCCCCCTCCCAGGCGGGCGGAGCGCCGCCGCGGGGGGGCCCAGCGCAGATCCAAGGAAAAGCCGCGCGGAGCGCCAAGAGTTTGTGTGTCTAAGCCGTTTTCTCTCCTTCGACTCTCGCCGTGGCCAGCTGCTGCATCGTGGAGTCGCCGCCCAATCAGTTGGGAAAAACGCTCGATTTTCAGGGCATCGACGGTCGCAGCCTCTCACCCGGGCGTGCGTCGGGCGCGCGCACGCCCAGGTTTCGACGAGCACGCTGCGCGGTGCGGGGCCACCTGTCACGAGCCCACTGGGCATGGATCATTGGAAAGAGGGAGAACGGTCCCCATTCGGGGGGAACGAAAGGGGGGGATAGCAAAGGGAAGGGTAGAGAATCAGCACACGCAGCTGATTCTCCTGGCGCCTCCCGGCGCCAGGAGGCGCCCACGCATAGAGGAATGGGCCCGGCGGCGGGGCCGAAACCAGCTGCATGCAGCAGATGTCGTAACCCCCCCTTTCCCTAATTATGCCCTCCTTTCGTTCGGACCGATCCACATGGCTCCGTGACAAAGGCCAGCCGGGAAGAGTCAGAGAGGATGGGCTGACCCCTGTAAGGGCGGACCCTACAGGGAGCACAACAGAGGACGCATGCGCCCTGTATCGTACAAAACATGCCCCTCCTGGCTCCCCAGTTCGCGAGGCAGCCATCATGTCAAAAACGTTCGCGCGATGCGCCCTCTTGAAACCTACAGTCGGACCATCCCTCAAAAACATGGGACCCCCCGTCGGCCAAAACAAACAGAACATCCAAGGGTACCTTCCCCAGGGTGCGCAAGAACATTCAACGAACACGATGAACATCAGGATTTCCTCCCCGAACCGAACTCAATCTTATACCTCGGTCCGACTTTCTGTGAATTCGTGTGTGCGCACGCCTCTCTTTCGTGTCTGAACTAGCTGTGCCCCGATTCCTGGCCCCCGTCATCTGCGTCAGGGATGACTCCCTTCCATGATCGGATGTTGCTAGAAGTGGCCCTGGCCTAATGTGATCCCAGGTTTCCCAAGGAGGCCCGTCTGGCTTCCAGGGAGGCCTTGCTGGCTTCCGGAGGGTCGCAGAGGCCCCCAGATTGGCGCGAAAGGCTGGAGCACCTTGGGCCTGGACCACTTGACCACTTCTAGCAACACCGAGCGGCCTGAAACTTTAGAGGAAGCAGACGGGTCCCAAGAGAACTGGCTCTGGACCGCGTGGCCTTCGCCCAAGGCAACTGTTTCAGCCTGAGACGTTAGTCTCCGTCCCGGGTCGGTTATTGGCGGGCCCCCCAGAGCCCGAAAACCGAGAAAATCCGGCAAGACCCGTTTCCCTTCAGGACGCACGACCCCTTGGCTAGGCAACCGCATGCGAGCCCTACCTGGAGAAGGGACAGACCGTCCCGGCAGTCCTATAGGCATACCATGAAATGTTCTTAGAACCCAAAAATGCAGGTCAGACTTCTCGGGGGCGGCCAAGAGGGGGGCGACCAAGAGGGGGGGCGCAAATCATGGCCGGCGGCATGTGCGCGGCCCAGGGGGGGGGCCAGGGACGTATTGAAATGAGAAGCGGCGCCATGAAATCTGGGGAGATATCATGGCCCTCGCCATGAGATCCACCCCCCCCTAGTCATCACCCACCTCTTTGCCGCCCCCGACCTTCTGCAGGATAGACTTCTGAAAGACCGGCCGGGGTTCTCAGAGTCCGAAGAACGCCTGCGGCCAGGGGAACCCTGGCAGCAGGGGTGTCCCATCCCCCTGCGACGAGTGGACCCGCAGGGGTAGGGTTAAGCCGCCTGAAGGGGAATTTTGGACGAAAAAACCAAAAATACGCAAGAAGTGCTCAAACCATGCTCAAACGATATACCAGAATTGTCAAAAAATTAAAGAAATAGTCCCCAGACTAGTTTTTGACTGTTTTTGAATATCCCCCCTGTAAAGAGACAGGCCCGACCTAGGGGTAGGGCTCGCTCGCGGTCGCAGCCTTACTTCCTGGAGACAGAAGGGGGCAGGCGAGCCCAGAGCCGAATCGCTGAACCGGGTTGGCACTCGGAGTGACTCGGCTCCGCGGGAATCGGCTGCCGAGCCAGGAGAAGTCGAATTGGTGGGAATCGGCAGGCCGGTGCGCCTCCTCCGAGACATCGGAGCCCAGATCGGAATCCGAAGCCGAATCGAATCGGAGTCCGGAGCCATCGACATCGAATCGAATCGCACTGGAGGAATCGAAACGATGCCCTGGATGATGATGAGCCTGTTTTCCAACACCACCACCACCACCACCATAAGTTGAAAGGGGGAAGGAGGTGGAGGACGAGGATGAGAAGGTGGAGGAGGAGGAGGAGGAGGAGGAGGAGGAGCAGGAGGAGGAGGAGGGAAAGGAGGAGGAGCAGGAAAAGGAGAAGGAGGAGGTGGAGGGGGAGGAGGAGGAGGGAGTAAGTAGGAGGAGGAGGTGGAGGAGGAGGGGAGGAGGAGGAGGAGGAGGAGGAGGAGGGAGCAGGAGGAGGAGGAGGAGGAGGAGGAGGAGGACCCCCTCACCCTCCAACTCATGGTGGTGGTGGAAAACAGGCCCATCACTGGAGGAAAGAAAACTATGCACATACACCGATTCCGGCCAGGACCATCTTGAGCCCATGATCGGTGCATACGCCCTCTTACCTTGGGCAGGAAGGTATGTGTGCACCGATCCTGGGTCAAGGATGGGCGTTGTCAGGATCGGTGCATGTGCATAGTTCTCTTCGCCCGAATCACTGGAGGGGGGCCGGTCCTGGGGCAGCGGCTGCAGGCCCACCGCGGCGCCGCCGCCCCTGGGGCTCAGCATCTCGCGGCCAGGCGCCCAGCCGCAGGCGGCCGCCGGGAAGAGGAGGAGGAGCAGCAGGAGGAGAAGGAGGCGGAGGAGGAGCAGGAGGCGGAGGAGGAGGAGGAGGAGGAGGAGCAAGAGGAGAAGGAGGAGGAGGAGGCTCAGCAGGAGGAGGAGGGGGGAGGAGAAGGAGGAGGAGGAGGAGGAGGAGGACGAGGAGAAGGAGGAGGAGGAGGAGAGGAGGAGCAGGAGGAGGAGGAGGGAAAGGACGAGGAGGAGGAGGAGGAGGAGGAGGAGAGGAGAAAGAAGAAGAGGAGGAGGAGCAAGAGGAGAAGGAGGAGGAGGAGAAGGAGCGGAGGGGAAGCAAGCCGGAGGAGGAGGAGGAGGAGGAGGAGGAGGGGAGGGGGAGAAGGAGGCAGCCGCTCTGTGCGCAGGCGGCGCCCCCCCTGCGGGCGCCGCGGCGCTGCAGAGCCCAGCGCGGAGCGGGCGCGCGCTGGAGTCGGGGCCGGAGGTCCGAGCGCTCGACCCTCCTCCTCCTCTCATCATCCTCCTCCTCCTCCTCCTCCTCCTCCCTCCTCCTCCTGCTGACACTCCTCCTCCTGCTGGCCTTCCTCCTCCTCCTGCTCCTCCTCCTCCTCCTCCCATCCTCCTTCTGCTCCTCCTCCTTCTCCTCCTCCTCCTCCTCCACCTGCTCCTTTAGTCTGACCGGGAACGACCACGCAAGACATGCTGGAGGCTAATTTTGAGGAGGTTTAGGGTTAGGGGTTCTTGTATCCTCGGTGGCAAGGGGCCCGAGGCGGCCCCAACACGGGCACGAGAGCCAACAGGAGAGGAAAAGCACAGGCTCCCCGCGGACGAGGGCCGTGTCGGGAGGCGCGGGCGGGGCGGCGGAGATCAGCGAGGAGATGTCTGCACGCAACCTCGGCAGTCCTTGCTAATGCTCGTCCTTGGTCTTTGAAGGGGCCCAGGGACACACAAATAAATACACACAAATCCCAGGAATTCCCAGATTTACCCACATACTCTGGGTTTTCGTCTTCCCCTCCACTTCCCAGATTGTTCCATATTTTCTTGGGAGTCAACGATTCCTTGTGTCTGTGTGTTTCTGCCCCTCCCGAGTCTTCTCGTCCTGGTCCTTCCGCTCCTCCTCATCCCTCTCCTCGTTCCTCCTCTCACCTCGTGCTCGGTCCCCCCGACTTCCCCAACTCCTGCCCCTCATCCTCCTCATCCTCGATGCTGCCTCCGCGACCCTCATTTCTGCCCCCTCACTCCTCATCCATGCTCCACACCCGCTCCTTCGTTTCACGTTTGATCGCTTATCCTCCCCCTGACAATCCTACGCGCAAATTCATCACCGTTGTTTCCTCATCGCCGCTCCTTTGTATTTCCCATTTTCTGAACACATCCGTATCATCGCTCCTCATTACCACTCATCATCCCCCTCCTCATCGTGAACATCCCCCCGCGCCCATCATCCCGCATCCTTCCTCCTGCTCGCTCCTTCCCGCCATTCATTTCATCATGCTCGCTCGCATGCCCCGTGATTCCTCATCCTGCTCCTCATCCTCTTCCTCCGCCCACTTCTCGTGCCAATCCTTATCCTCTGCTCTCGACATCCTCCTCATTGGCCGCCCCGCTCATTCCCACTATCATCGTCCCCAACACCACTCTTTCTCATCACCTCCCATATCCTGTTCCACATGCCCCACCATCCGCCAATCCGCCTGATGGCCACGTAATTGTCGACGATCAGCACGGGATGTCCATCGATCCCATGCGCTAGCCCCCCCCCCCCCTCATTGCACTCAACACCACCATGTGTTCGCTCGCCAGCGCAATCTTCATCAAAAGTGACCATCATGATCACCGACACCGCCATCACCGTTGCCATATTTGTGAGTTTAACGTAATAGCAAGCGTGGGCTCGAAACACAGTGTTATCGCAGTGTGGACGTGTGAGCGATGTGGGGCTAGCGAATTGCGTTCTGCACGTCGCGCCTTGTCAATTCCACTGTTAGCACAAACGCCCCACCCTCTCACCCGAAACGCTGTCTACGATTGCAGTTGCGTTCGGCACTGGCTGGCGCATCTCTGCAGCCGCGCTGGCACCAGCAGGCTCGCGCAAGAACCGCCAACTGGTTTGGCACAATCGGTGCGGCCGCGATGGCGCGCGGGCGCTTCAGTGAGCCGTGGTGACTCGGGCGGGCGCGGTGCCATGATCACGTCGGTAACGGCGGCAACGATAATGACGGTAGCGATGGTCGTGGCGATGATGACGATGACGACCTCCTCAACCTCCTCCTCCTCAACCTCCTCCTCCTTCTCCTACTCCTTCCTTCTTTCCCCGAACACAACACCAACCACCCCACGCACCCAGGACATGTCATCACTCATCCGTATCACTTCCCCTGGCCACCCCTCATGACTCCTCAACATAGCTTCGTGTCCGCATTTCTTCCAACCATCGCTCATTCGACAAATTGTTCCTCCACATCGTATCGCCCCTCATTTCCATTCACTGATCATCATCGCTCGACCTCCGACTCGCACCTCATTATCAATCTCCTTCTGCACTTCATCCTCCTTCGCCTCCTCCTCTTTCTTCGCATTATCCTCCCTCCTCCTGGCCACCCATCATGACTCTGTTTGACAAGACACCCAATGAGGCCCCATGATGGCCAAACATAACCCCAATACGACCCATTAGGGCTCCAAACAGGCCAGGAAAAAGTCTAGTGTCAAAACACGTATCCGAAATCGCCTGACCATTGCCGCCCAAATGCACCCGAGAAGGGCAAGACAACGGAGGACCGATAATGGAGGAAGGACGGAAGATGGATGGATGGATGGACAGCGCCTTGAAAGGCCGGGAGGTGACAGCACCGAAAGCGTATTGGGGATCGACCCGAATTAAGGCGCCCCTGAGCTCTTGCCTCTTCTTTAGCTTTGGTGCGGGCGGCAAGGGCCGCCATACGCTGCTCGAGTGCGGGGGTCGAGGGAGAGTCCGAAAACGCTCGCGGGACTGAGGTAACACACAACTCGGGCTTCTCATCCGCTTCGCGCGCAACGGACAGCTGAGACACAGACAGCGCCTTATCAAGCACAGCTCTTGCCTTCATACTCGGGAGTTGCTAGAGGTGCCCCCAGGAAAAGGTGGCCCCAGGGTCGAGGGCCCTCGGGGAGCAAGTCGAGCCAACAACTGGGATCGGACACGGACCGAATCTTCGCATATTGCGCTGCTCGAGTCCAACACCCGCGAAGCAGCCGCGCGGCCGCTCGAACGAACGGTCGCGCGCGGCGCCCCCCGCCCTGGAGCGCAAACCCATGCGACGACCCCTGCGAAAGCCGCCGTGCAGAGACCTTGCAAAGATCCCGACTGTCACCCTGTCACCCTGCCAACAAAACATGTAAAGACCATACGGAGACCCCTACAGAAACCTCGCCAAGAACCTTAAGAAGACCTTACAACAACACACGATTCCCTGCGAGAGACCACGCAATGCGTTGCAAGTCCCTACAGTTGGACCTGCGATACCTTGCAATCGCCCTTCGATCCCAGCAGCACCCAAGTCTCTGGGCGCAGAACGTTTGAGGAATCCTGTCATCTTGTGCCATCGATTTGATCGACGTTTCCAACTCCTGAACTTGCAACGCAACTTTCGCTCGTCGCCCTTCATCACTTTCAGGAGCCGCTGTACTGGCTGCCTCTTGAACCTTGGCAGCCGCTTCCGACGTCCACGGTGGAGTCGAGAAGGTTGCGTTTCCAACTCTCTTGTCCAGCTGCTGCAACGCAACTGTATGGGCAGTGAGAATTCGGGTACGGATGTGTGCAGGCGCCGACCGCCCGCACTCGAACTTGATCCTCGACGCCCGCTTGTGCAAGCGCGCGCATGAACAACACGCCCACTCGGGTTTCCTCGGGCCCAACAGGACATCCCACTCCTTCTCATCAGGGGTCGGGGCCATCCGCTGGCCAGCTATGCCTCTTTCTGCTCCGTCAGGAGCTCACGCATGCCTCGACAAGCTTTGCTCCGCCAGGAGTTCACAAAATGCTAGGTCGAGGCAACCCTTGGGAATGGGCTGCCCTTCCACCTTGACCGCGAGCATCAGGAGTCGGGACGGGGAGGTGAACTCCCGAGTCGGGACGGGGAGGTAAGCTCCCGGGTGGCTACGGGGGGGGGAAGGAGGAGGAGAGAAGGTGGGGGAAGATGAGGACAAGGAGAAGGGGATAGGAGGAGGAGGAGGAGGAGGAGGAGGAGGACAACGAAAGGCAAACAGAGGAGGAAGGAGGAGGAGAGGAGGAGGAGAAGCGGGAGGAGAGGAGGAGGAGGAGGAGGAGGAGGAGGGGGGAAGGAGGGGGTAAGGATGAGGAGGAGGAGGAGGAGGAAGAGGAGGAGGAGGAGGAGGAAAAGGAGTGGGAGGAGGAGAGGGAGGAGGAAGAGGAGGAGGAGGAGGAGGAAGAGGAGGAGGAGGAGGAGGACGAGGACGGAGGAGGAGGAGAGGGAGGAGGAAGAGGAGGGGGAGGAGGAGGAGGATGAGGACGAGGAGGAGGAGGAGGAGGAAGGAGGAGGAGGAAGAGGTGGCGGGGCGGAGGAGGGGTGGAAGAGAGGGAGGAGGCGGAAGATGGACGAGGGCTGGCCGAGGGCGGATGCATGGGCATGCTCAGGAAGACGGAAGATGAGGAAGAGGGCGGATCTGAGACCCGCTCCCTGAGGCGCGACGAATCGTACCTGCTTGCGCCATCGGCCATGGCGGCGCCCCAGATCCCTGCGCGAGAGCCCGCACTCCTGCACACCTCGTTGCAGACCGGCGCACTCGGCCTCAAGGAACTCCGCATGCGGAGGGCGGATCGGGAGCAGGAGGCGGCTGGGGGGGAGGCAGCGAGCGGCAGACCACGGCGGGCCACCGGCGTGCCTCGGAGTGCCTCGGAGTGCCAAAGAGTGCCGACGAGTACCAGGCGGGGGAAGGCCTCGGAGTGCCGACGAGGCGCGGCGGCTCTTCTGCGCCACCGCCCGCCGGGATGCCTCTGCCGCTGCCGCGCGGGCTTTCCCCGCGCGCGCGGGAGGCGCGGCTCTTCAGGGCGGCCCCGGGCAGCCGCGCCGCAGCGCCGCGCGGTAGCCGGCCTCCAGCTCTTGGAGGCTGCCGAGCGCGCGGCTGTCCCCGTGCTCCAGCTGCGCGATGACGCCCTCCAGCCTGGCGGGGTCGACGGTCCTTCCCCTTCGCCTCCCGACCTTCTTCCTGGGTGTCCACCTCCTCCTTCTCCTCCTCCTCCGCCCCCCTCCGCTTTCCCTGCTCCACGCCAGCACTCCCTCAAGCTTGCCGCGACCTGCTGTCCACCCGCTCAGCTTGACACTACCCGCCGTCCCCCCTCGGGGGACGGCGATGGGGAGAAGGGCCGGACTCGGCATTGCAAGGGTGTGAACGCTGTTCTGCTGAAGACCTTCGCCCGAAAGACCGGGTTTGAGCAGGGACCGACCGACCGTCCTGGCAATCCGATAGGCCTACCACGAAGTGTTCCCAGAACCAAATAATGATCGAACAATAGAACAACAGAACAAGTCCACCACCACCAACAACACCACCACCACCAACAATCACAACAGCAGCAACAGCAACAGCAGCAGCAACAGCAACAGCAACAGCAACAGCAACAGCAACAGCAACAACAACAACAACAACAACAACAACAACAACACCAACAACAACAACCACAACCACCACGACAGCAGCAGCAACAACATCAAACACACCATCAGTTACACCAACAGCAGCAGCAGCAGCAGCAACAACACCATCAACACCACCACCACCAACAACAACGGTGTATACCTTTCTTAAATGCAACGTGTATGTCGTGCAGCCTCCAAGGCAGGGGAAGAGAGGACGGATGGATGGAAGGGACGAGGGGGATGGAGGAGGATGAAGCACGAGAGAGAGTAGCAGGATGGGGGCTAGGAGCAGAAAGCAAGTGGCTGAACCAAACGGGCGGGTCGGGAAGGCGGGCCCAGTCGGCCAGGTCGATCAGGCAGGTTGATGATGCGTGCGCCCTGCATGAATCATGAGGAAATCTCGAGCGAGGGCGCAATGTTCTAATATATTGTAGTAAATCCATAAAGTGGGTGCCCGAGGAGGAGATGGAGGAGGAGGAGGAGGAGGAAAAGGAGGAGGAGGAGGGGAGGGAGTGGAGGAGTGGGGGAGGGGGAAGGGGGGGAGGGAGTGGATGGGGGGAGGGGGAGGACCTGTTCTCCACCACCACCACCACCACCGTAAGTTGGATGTGGGGAAGGAGGAGGAGGAGGAGGAGGACGAGGAGGAGGAGGAGGACGAGGAGGAGGAGGACGAGGAGGAGGACGAGGAGGAGGAGGACTGCCTCCCCCTCCAACTTCTGGTGGTGGTGGGCCACACGCCCATGATCTGCAAGGGCGCTCCGTTGAGCAGGGACCGACCGTCCTGGCTTTCCAATAGTCCTACTACGACATGTTCTCAGAACCCACAAATGTTCTAACAAAAACAATGTTCTTAGAACATTAACCCGATGTGTTAAGCCAAGACTGGCTCCGCCAGAAATGTTCTAAGAACATTTCGTGGGAACCACAAAAGGTTCTTAGAACATTGTTTGGTAGGGTTATTTGCGAGCCAGGACGCTTCGCCACTGCCGCCCTCATGGCCGCAGAGCGCGCCAAGGGCTGCGCCGGAGGCGCCGCCAGGGGCCCCAGCGAGGATCCGAGATGTTATGCTTATGTCATTATTCGTTCACCAATGGATCTGCAAGGGTTCCTAACTTCGCGCTTCGCGCTGCGCGAAGCGCAAAAAACTGCTTGACTCCGTGCAGCGCGCGAGAACGGTGGCGGCGGGCGCGAAAGCGGCGAGCACGCGCGGCCCGCCGGCCTGGCGGCCAGGCCCGAGGCGGCCCCCGGCGGCAGGCCTGGCAGGGGGCCCGGCGGCGCTGCGTGCGCGGCGTGCCAGCAGCCCGCAGGGGCTCCTGCGGCAGGGGGCGGCCAGCGTCGAGGCTCCTTCGCCTACTCCTCCTGCTCCTCCTCCTCCTCCTCCTCCTCCGTTCCTCCTCCTCGATTCTCCTCCTCCATTCTCCTCCTCCTCCTCCTATTCCTCCTCCTCCTCCTCCTCCTTCTCCTCTCTCCTCTCCTCCTCCTCCCCGTCCCTCCCCTCCCTCCTCCCTCCCCTTCCTCCCTCCCCCTCCTCCTCCCCCCCCCTATCCTCCTCCTCCTCCTCCTCCTCCTCCTCCTCCTCCTCCTCCTCCTCCTCTTCCCCCTCCTTCCTCCAGCGCCACAGCGTCCCTTGAGATTGAGGCGTCTGGATGTTCTCGAGCCGGGCGGGCGTGCGTTCGCCCCTTGTTCGGGCCCCAGGGCCCCCACGGATCGATCCACAGCGTCGCTGGCCACGGCGTGTGCACCTTGCGCGACGATCACGAACCGGTCTTGCGCGAGACATGCCGCAGCGACCTCACGCGGTGGCTGACGCGGGCCGCCAGCGCGGCACGCCACGTCGGAGACAAGGGCGTTTACGCGCGACCTTGCGCGGGCAGCTTGCTCGCCAGTGTCCGCGCAGACGAGCCCGCTGTCCTTCGTCGCGCGCCCCCTGGGATCCTGGCGTCTCAAGTTTATCGAGCCGGGCGTTGTTTCGCCTCTTGTTCGAGCCCCAGGGCCTTCACAGGTCGATGCGGCTCGAATAAAGGCGCAGGAAGCTGGGCTCTATGCCTCCGGCCAGGGGTGTGATTTTTACGACGCTGCATTTTTGTTGGTTACGTCGAGTCTCAGGGGTCGTATGCGGCATGAAAGACCCAGGCCCGGAGGGAACTACATGCTGTTCTCTGGGGGGGCTTTTTCAGCATCGGCTCTCCATCCCGAGTCGCTTTTCTTCTTCCCGAGGAGGGCCCCGAGAGCCCGAATGGCCTCAGGACCATCGGGTCGCCTTCCTCCGCGCATAGAACATCACACATCGCGCCCCGCGTGCATCCTCGGGATTGCGGGCCGGATTCTTGTTTAGAAAGAAATAATCAGATAAATACAAACTTTTGGCGCTCCGCGCGGATTTTTGGATTCGCGCTGGACCCCCCTCCCTGGCGCGCGGGGCGCGCCAGGGTCGGCGCCGGAGGCGCCGCCAAGGGGGAGCCCGAACGCGGATCAGCGCCGACGGCGGGGACGTAGCGACGATGGCCTTAGGCAGCACAAGGGGGGGTTCAAACCCTCTCCCCCAACCCCCCTGGCGCCTGCGCCAGCGTCGGCGCTGGCGGCGGCGACGGCGGGGACGCAGCGACGATTACCACCACTACCACCACCACTACCACCACCACCACCACCGCCACCACCACCACCACCACCTCAACCCACCGCCACCGCCAGTTCCACCACCAGCACCACCGCCTCAACCCACCACCACCACCACCACCAACCCACCGCACAACCACCATCACCACCACCACAGCCACCACCAGCCACAACCACCACCAGCACAACTCACCATCACCACCACCACCACCACCACAAAAACCCACAACCACTACCACCACCACTACCACCACGCTCTACCACTCCAGCACCACCTCCACAACCATCACCACTACCATCAGCACAGTCCAACACAACCACCACAAACCACCACACCACCACCACCACCGCCACAACCACCACCACTACCAGCAGCACAATCCACCACCACCACCACCACAACAACAAACCACCACACCACCACCACCACCGCCACCACCAAAACCACCAGCACCACCTCCACAAACCACCGCCACCACCACAACCCACCACCACCGCCCACCACAGACCACCACCACACCACCACCAAACCACCACCACCACCACCACAACCCACCACCACCACCACCACCACAAACCACCACCACACCACCACCAAACCACCACCACCGCCATCACCACCACTGTCGTCCTCGTCGACGTTCCCCGCCGCTGCCGCCCGCTGCCGCAGGCGGCAGCGCCAGCCCGGAAAAGGAAATCGTCGTCCTCGCCGCCGCCGCCAGTCGCCGCCGACGCGCGCGCCGGCCCGAGGAGAAAGGAGAGGGACGGAGGGGGGCGGGGTTCGAAGGCCCCCCTCCCTCCGTCACGAGAGGGGGGAGGGGGGGTGGGGTCCGAACCCCCTCCCTCCACTCAAAGGGGGGGGGTCTGGTTCCACCGCCCCCCTTCCTAGCGACCACAGAACGCGCTCCTTCATATATATATATATATATATATATGTATATGTGTGTGTGGTGTGTGAACGTCCTCCTTGGAGGCGTGCGTCCGACCCAAACACATCATAAAACCATCTCGAAGTATGTCGTTTCCCGAGCGGCATTGCCCGAAAGCACCCGCGACGGAGCGCATGCTATATGACTTCTCGGTGCGCGCGTCGCGCCCCTGGAAGGGGGGTGGGGCCGACGCACACATAGACTCACGTTGCTCCCATCGTACTTCAGCACCACGTCCCAGAAATAATCTCGAGCACCCAGAAACGTATCGAAACAGTGTCGAAAGAGCATCGCCTCGCAGGGCCCGACACGCGAAGACCTTCCAGTCTCGGTACTTCCTTGGTGCTCGACATTATTTCTGGTGGTCAAGGCTAAAGTAGGTTGGACCATCGTTGGAATTCCGAAACGGTGCGGTGACAGACCGTGCGGTGACCTCGAGATCCCCTAAGACCTCACCGCACGGTCCGTCACCGCACGGTCTGGGGACCTCGGAGGACCCAATCGCCCGAGACGTCCTCGGAGAACGACAAGAGTCCCAAAACCGTGCGGTAACCCCGAATCCCCACCGACTCACCACACGGTGTGGTCA